CTTATCTCGTTTATCTTGATTTTTTTTTTATATCATAAGTTTCAAGACAAACTATCATTATTATTCAAAAAGGTGAAATGTTGTCTGAAATGTTGCCTCAGTTTATCTCCGCCTCTTGTAGCTGTAATGGTGTGAAATTTGCTACACTGCTCATAACGTGTGTAATATCATCTAATAAATGTGTGTAATTACATTGCAGCAAATATAACATATATCAGCAATTCAAGCTTAAAATAAAAATACACAAGCATTTATACAAATGTAAAATTATCAATAGAGTTGATGTGATTTATTTCACGAGAAAAAAAATATTGTCTTTCTTCAGTACGTTGCATGTTACAAAAATATAACTGGATCTTGTTAGTCACACCAACATCCCATCACATCAAAAATGTTAGTCCTAAAAAAAAAATAATAATAATAATTTGAAAGTATTAACAACATATGAAAGACTCACTTTAATGTTTTCGAACAAAAAAAGATTAATCAATTTTATTAATTAGTGAGGATTTCACATAGGAACACCAGGGCTCTCCCATATTTCATCATCAAAAATATTAGAGGTAGGTGTGATTTTATCTGTGACCGTCAAATCCATGCTCTGGCAGTCTTTGACGGTTGTCTCTTCAGCATTTTGGATTAAATCCCCGGGAACCTGCTCAGCACTTGAGTCCACAGTGTCCTTGGATGGTTCGAAGCATACATGATCACTCTGCAAACCCGGGTCCTGACAGTTTTGGTCAACTACAACAGCTTTACTTGTTTCTAAATCATCCCGATTACCAACTCCTGCTGAACTTCTCTCTCCACCAGCCAGAGAGGCCGACCTGGGTACAGCCCTGACTTCCTCTGATGGCTTTTCCTGTCTCCCTTCATGCCCTCCAGTTGTGATAGCTGGTGTGGCTTTATTCGTTATCCCCTCCTGGTTCTGAGGTCTGCTCTCCAGGCCAAAGAAGTTGCTTCGGACAACATAGCGGACACACTGCAGGAGGACATTCCTCTCATGGCGGATGTCTGGGGCCAGTAACTGGACAGAGTGGAAGAAAATAGAAAAAGCTCATTAGGGCTGAGAAGATGCAATATCTAGATAATACATGTTTAAGTAGAATTTCATTCACGCAAATTATGCTTGTATAATCTCCAGAGTGTCCTTACCATCTCAAGTAGAGTGGGACGACGTGTCTGTGGCGTATCTTGATGTCGTGGCGTATCTTGATGTCCTGCCCTACCGCGCCTGCCTCCCCTTCCTCCCCTGCCTCCTCTTCCCCTTCTCCCTCCTCTGCTGTTCGGTGTGTGAAGAACAGAGTCAGGCTGGTGGACTTTGTGGGCCTCTGTACCCTGTGAAGAGGTTTCCCAGCTTCTAGAGGGTCCTCTGTCCTGGGAGTATGCTGGTATTGTGTTTAGGAGAGCCTGGTTTTCTTGCACAAGGTCTTTGGCTCTCTGAATAGGGGTGGCTGAAACACAAGGGAAAACGTAAAGGATGGAAAATGTAAGTACTTTTCCCCATTGTGAATTTTGTACATAAGCCCTACTCTGTCAAATATGTGTCCTTGTGTATCTTGCATATATTTTTGTGTTATATTGTTTCAACAGAATAAAACTAAACTATAATACAACCTTTCTTAGGTCAAATTAAATTCTGAAACCGGGGTACAGATAAATACTCATGACAACGATTGTGCTTGTAAATCCACATTGGATAGTCCTCATGGATTGGCACTGGTCGGACCTGCTGGCCCCTGAGCAGCTCCACTGGAGCGGTTGGGGTCAAGGGCCTTGCTCAAGGGCACCGTTCTCACTTTCCCCACCCAGATATATCCTGCCGGTCCGGGGGGATTGAACCGATGACCTTCCAGTCACAAGCTCACTTCTCTAACTTTTAGGGCCTACACAAACTCACCTTCTGGTCCTTCATCACTGTCACTCTCACTCATGGAGCCGTAGTTTGCCACAAGGGAGCCCAGAGCTGAGCTCATCTGTTTAGGAGCCACAACCAGGCCAGTGGTCCTGGACTCAGCAGCTGGGTCCTCTTTGTCAGAATCTGGAGGTGTATGAGGAACACATTACAATATATACCAGTTATTAGGTGATTGTCTACAGTCTTGTTTGAATACTGTGCCCCGTCCATGTGAGTTGGGTCACTCACCGTGGTCACTGCTGGCCAGCGCTCCCAGAGGATCCCCGTCCCTGAAGTGCTGGGTGATGGGTGGGGGTCTCTCTGTGGCACTGGCGTCTGATGGGTGAGGGTCTCGAGGGTGACGCCCGTGGAACCCTCTGTTGCCCCAGCCACGACCTCGCCCACGACCTCGTCCTCTGCCTTTCATTCGTCTGTGAATAAAATGTTAAAAGTCTAGATTTAGATAAGAGGCCTCATGTCAATGCAAACAGAAGAATAAAGAAGGAGTGCAAAATACATAATTTATGCATCAAATGTGTATATTTACCCAAACTGAGCTGTCTCCAGAACGGCTCCTGTCTCCTCCCGCACCTCCATCACTTTCCTCTTCTTTTCCATATTCTGAAGTGTCGGATAGTTTCTGCAAACACGAATTTAGGCTCGAGTTGAACAAAAAGTCAAAGTAGACATCGGTTGTCACAGTTTCAGCAGTCTACTTGCGAATACTGACTTGCGCCTCTCGTCTCTCCACTTTGCAATCTCATCCGGTGTGTCCAGCTTAATCCTTTTAGCTCCCGGTGCGTGGTTCTGCAGTCAGGACATAAAAACACTGATATTAGCATTAGAGCTAAGCGAACGTGGGAGCCTCAGTTTGTCAGATACGAGTTGTTTCACTCACATTTTTCCAGTGGATGCTGACTATCTTTTCATGAGCCATGAAGCTGCAGTCGGGCACAGAACACTACAGAAGAGATTTGATTGACGCAGTCAGTAAAATGTGCATACCAGTATCCACAAATTACATTAATTACAGCGAAATATGTTGAATCAAATATATCAAAATACCTTCACGTGTTGAGAAATATGTTCATCGTACTTCTCCTGGTTCTTGAAGGCCCGGTCACATGTGTCACAAAAATGGGAATACTCTGGTTCCTTCTTATTTTTCTGCTGTTGGTTATAGACGGATCAGATCACCACAGAACTGTTCATGTGCTTGATATCGTAATGATCAAACAGATAGTTACCTTTTTCCCGTGATCGTTGGGGGGTCCATAATTCTGTCTTCCACCTCGATGTCCGCCTTGATGCCTCCCACGACCGAAGTTTTGACCTGAAGACAAGAGGCATTACATCATAATGCACACATCAGCAATACCTACCACAAATTGTACACAGCAGGTCAGGAGGGGCTAGGTGAATATGCTATTGGTGGCATTATGGGTAATGTAGGATGCAGGGTTTTTTGTACCTTTACCAATACTAGGAACTAAAAGTCAGGATATCTTTTTTCCGGATTTCCACGTTTTTTCCTGTTAAAGCTGCGTGATTGGTCAAGATGTGTGGCGGCATCAGTTTGGACACATTTTAATGTGATAGTTCAAAGGCAGAGTGTACACTGTGCAAAGTTAAACATTTCATATCAAGCAGCTTTTTGTCTAATTAAGATGGGTCTTTATCTTTGTGTTTTATAATTTATTTTTGTAGCACTCTGTTCCATGTTGAGTATATTAATAAATCCATATAAATACTAAACATTTGATATAATGTATGTATTTACATTAGATATTCATTTTACACATAATTTGGTAATAAATTAATTTAAGCAACAAAAAAAATATGAGGAGCCACTTGGGAGCCGAAAGAGCCGGCTCTTTTTAGTGAGCCGAGCCAAAGGAGCCGGTTCTCTAAAAAGAGCCGGAATTCCCATCACTACTGCTTTGATTGGGACCATGTGAGCCCCCTAACTTTTCTTTTGAGTTTATCTTAAGTTGCCGGAGTAGCCTACTTTCACACAGAGTTTTTAAACCTTTAATGGTGGTAAGATGGTATGAAATTTGAGGAATTGAGAAGAAGGTCAAGTAGACATTGTAAAACTATATTTACATTTCATTTTACGGCTGTTGTTTGGGTTTGATCACCATTAACAGACCACTTTATGAGCAGCTCACCGTATGGACGTTTAGGTCCAGAGTTCCCACGACCTGGTGGGAAACCAAACCCTGTCGCGTCCCCTTGATGCCACCCAGCCTGTCCACTGTGGACCCAGCTGGGCTCCGAGGTCGTCTCACCCCAGCTCCACATGTTGGGGTGGAAGCTGCTGGAGCGGGGCTGCTGTGGGTGGCGGATAGAGTTTGGAGGAGGACAGCCGAAGTCCGGCGGAGGATAGTGTCCCGGTTCATTCATAGTACTCAGCCCAGAAGTCTTTCCTCACGTCGAGACTGGAGACTATTTGAAGTTAATGTATGTTGCTCACCACGCAGCTCTCTCACATGGGCATGTTTTTCCTCTGGTTTATACGCCTCCGCGTCACTTCCGGGAGAGCAGGAAGCGCATGTGTGAGCTGCTAGAAAAATAAATAACGAGAGCTGTCGTAAAATAATTATGATATTTTTTTCCTTTAAATTGCACCTAATATGTTAAAGTGGAACTTTGTGTTACCAAATATATTTATTTAAATATGTTATGTTTTAAAACCGGCATGTTTGCAGCAACTTCTCGCGAGCTTTACCGTAAAGTTCCTCCCGGGTTGCCAGGTTGCGGAATTTATTTTACACGTTTATAGAAATGTGGATAAAGTAAAATATTTTTTGATAAGTTTTACGAATTATTAAGACTATATAAAGACTTTATGTAAACTTAAAATGACAAAAACGAGCGGAGCACCTTTTTTTCTACGCGTCCACATTTTGTATTATTATTTTTAATTAAACATAATTACGCAGCGTTAATAACATGTCACAACATAAAGAACTGAGGACATATTTGGTGTGTTAAAAAAAATTAAAAACACGCTAAAATAAGCTAAAACATCAGTTAAAATGATTAAATCACGTCTGGCATCGGGTGATATCGACCGACAGGACATGGCAACCCAGCTGTTTCCTGCTCCTCTCCGCCGCCATGTGTGTCCTCAGTCTCGGTGGGAGCAGCGGCAGCGTGGTGAAACTCTGAAGGCTCTCCTCTGGTAGAGAGCTGCTAACACAATGCTCGTTTTATTTGAGACCGCGGCTGGATATGCAATATTCAAAGTATGTATTCGGCTTTTTTTTAATTTTTTTGTTTCTTCCTTTTTTGTTTTTTTAAAAAGAATGAGAAATAATTACGCGTTACTTAGTTGAGTTAGCTTAGCAACACCGTTAGTTACCCACAGCCCACGTTATAATTAACCTAAATGACAATAAACTAAATTTTAACACCAGTATTTACATTTGTTTTCCCAGTTTAAGGACATTTATGTTGAGTTTGTGCCGGTGCACGAGTGTCTTCGCTAGGCTAACACTGAGCTAGCAGTCTACAGGCCTTGTAACCACGTGTGCATGTTGAGGCTGACTTAAGTGACTGCAGGTTTTATTTCACGACACAACATTCACGTACATATCGGAAAATAGGTGATCGATACTCAACCTGAATGCCACATATAGGAGATTGTGACGTTAAACACACATCCAGAGATATTTTACTCACAAAGTGTGGATTTTTTTTTTTTTTTAATGTGCACTATTAGATTGTTTTAATGCGTGACAACTAACTTTTAAGTTTCTGTGATATTTCAGGTCCTCGATGAATCCAAACTGCAACAGGTCGACAGCCTGTACAAGGAGTTTGAAACTCCTGAGAAAGCGAATAAAGTGTAAGTGTTGATGCAGCATTCAACCAGCCAGTTCATGCAAAGTGGATTCAGTGTGTGCTCACTTGTTTTCTGTTTTTTCTTCTGCCAGTGTGAAACTGAAGCACTTTGAGAAGTTTCAGGACACAACAGAGGCCTTAGCAGGTAATGACGCACGTCTATGTGCACTGATGTACACCTGAGATCTGTGTGGTCTGTGATGTGTTTCTGTGTCTGATTTAAAAACATGAGGCATTTCACAGTATTCGTCACTACCCCTGAGACCACATCGTGTCGTTTTAGCAGGTAGTTTAGATGTAAAGAAAGATAGTTGGCCCTCCTTTATAACTTGGAATGGATAGAAAATGTACATTCAACCAGTATTGGTCAGTTTGGCTGTTTTATGTCTGTGTATGTGAGTGTTAACTGTATTTAATGTCTTGTTTCCAACTTCTGCCACTCAGCTGCCACTGCGCTGGTCGAGGGAAAAATTGGCAAGAGCTTGAAGAAAGCGCTGAAGAAAGTTGTTGCCAAGGAGGCTCACGAGCAGCTCGCCATCAGTGATGTGAAACTCGGTGGGGTTATTAAAGTAAGTGACCCAACATTTACATCGTTAGTATTCAGTAAGTAAGTGTTGTATGCAAGAGTTGCGTCTCTAACCGGCTCTGGTTTTCAGGAAAAGCTGGACCTGAGCTGTGTCCACAGCCCTGCTGTGGCTGAACTGATGAGATGCATCAGGAGCCAGATGGAGAGTCTCATCACTGGACTTCCTCCCAGGGAGATGAGTGCCATGTCTCTGGGGTTGGCTCACAGGTAGATGGCCCACAGATGTATTGTTTGTGTGAACGCGACTGCTGCCTATGATTACACTTGCTGTCTGAAATGTCCCTGTAGATTTTCCTCAGCATTCGTCACTACCGCTGAGGCAGCAGTCTCTCCCCGAGGCGGAAATAGTTTTGTGTGAAGAAACTCATGAGTAACTTTTCTTTTGTCTTCTGCAGTTTATCCCGCTACAAGCTGAAGTTCAGTCCAGACAAGGTGGACACTATGATTGTGCAGGCCATCTGTAAGTTGTATTATTTATTTTTTTAAAGCACTAAACGATATATTCAGCTATATTGAATACTAATGTATCCCTACTGTATTTGACTGCAGTTTGACTGACTGGGTTTTTTTTTCTCCGTTGTCTCTTCAGCTCTTCTGGATGACCTGGATAAGGAGCTTAACAACTACATTATGCGCTGCAGGGAGTGGTACGGCTGGCACTTTCCCGAGCTGGGAAAAATTGTCACAGACAACTTGGCCTACTGCAAAGCCGTCCGCAAAATTGGTAAGAATAATCTGCATTTTTAAGAAACACTCGAGTGATTTAGTATTGGTCTTCTGTGAAGCTATGGGGCTTGCAAGAAATGCATTTTTTTTGTTGATTAATCAGGTGCTGAGATGTCCAAAAATACATCCCCCATCATGCAACTCATTAGTATATTTCATTAGACATCCCCTGCCTGACAAAGGCCTAAACCTTAAACCGATCATGCAAGCTTTCTCTTATAAATGTGCCCTTTTAAAACTCATTTTACATAATGCTTCCTAGATCAGTTTTTACCACATGAGACTTCCTGGGATGCTTAATGTGTGTCTGTGGTTCTCCAGGTGATCGCACAAACGTGGCCGGCTCCGATCTGTCAGACCTCCTCCCCGAGGAAATTGAGGCAGAGGTTAAATTGGCTGCTGAGATCTCCATGGGAACAGAAGTGTCGGAACAGGACATCGGAAACATCAAACACCTGTGTGATCAGGTATGTCCCTTTTTAAAGCCGAGAGCTCGAGTGACAGTGGTGATGATGACGACATTTGTCTTTATCCTGAAACAAATCATGTGGGTTTTTCAGTCACTACCTCATCTGAACTGTCACATTTCATGACTCCAGCCCCTTCCAGTGCATTTAACTCATTATTTATCTCCTGGCATTTATACAACCAATCCTGTCTGTTTTCCACAGGTGATTGATATTTCAGATTACCGCACTCAGCTGTACGACTACCTGAAGAACCGAATGATGGCCATCGCCCCCAACCTGACAGTCATGGTGGGCGAGCTGGTCGGCGCCCGTCTCATCTCACATGCAGGTAAGTCTCAGAGACGGTGGGTGCGTGGAAACCAGCCAAGCGGTGATGATGACGACGTTATGTCATTCTCCTGATAAAGACTGATGTTTTTAAGTCACTACCTCATCTGAGCTTGCGTTAGGAAGCCCAGTGTGCAGGTACAGGTGAGAGCATCATACTTACATGCCTGTCCTTGTTTTTAAGGCTCCCTTCTGAATCTGGCAAAGCATCCAGCTTCCACAGTTCAGATCCTCGGAGCAGAGAAGGCTCTGTTTAGAGCCCTGAAGACCCGCAAAGACACACCAAAGTACGGTCTCATCTACCACGCCTCCCTAGTGGGCCAGACCTCTGCCAAGAATAAGGGCAAGGTACATTCAGAAGGAGCGATAAGTTGTATAGGTAATGATCATCTGGCTTGTGGTTGGAAAATAAACATGGGTTCTGTTTTTGTTCGGTAATATCTGTCCAGATCTCCAGAATGCTGGCAGCTAAAGCAGCCCTGGCTATTCGCTATGATGCCCTGGGAGAGGACACAAATGCAGAAATGGGAGCAGAGAACCGTGCCAAACTGGAAGCCAGGCTGCGCCAGCTGGAGGAGAAAGGAGTAAGTACAACTACAACAGAGATTTATCACGAGTGCCACTCTGAGATCTACTCAAATCCCAGGGCTTGTATGTATAAAGCCATTCTGAGTAAAATGTGGGGTCTCAAAGTCAATGCTAGAGGGAAGGGCACTATGGAATCAAATTCTAGTCCTTATTTCAACACTTTTTACACAATCCCTGCAGGCAGTGGCAAGAGCTGATTTACTCATCGTTGTATACATACTGGCCCAGATCGGTTAACTCTGCTGTCTTTCTGCTGATCATCTGATTGTGTGTCCATTTTTTTCCATTCTCAGATCCGTAGAATCAGTGGAACGGGCAAAGCAATGGCAAAGGCAGACAAATACCAGCACAAGAGGTAAATAGTCACAAACTGCTCCCTCACTGAAGATAATAAATTCCTCACGTGTAAATCTAAAATGTGTTAAATTCTCGCTTCTCGTCCACAGTGAAGTGAGAATGTACGATCCATCCGGCGATTCTACTATTCCCTCCACTTCCAAGAAGAGGAAGTTTGAGGAGGTGGAGGAGGAGGAGGAGGAGGCTGCTGACCAGCCTGAAACGCCAGTCGTCCAGAAATCCAAAAAGCCCAAAAAGGAACCAGTAACAGCCGGTGGGTGTAATGATATCCAGGTGTACTGAAATATATCCACAATGTTGTTTTATGATGCTAAAGGTGTTTTTTTGACTGCATGTTTTGTAGAAGAAGAGGAAGAAGTAACAGAGGAGACTCCCAAGAAAAAGAAGAAGAAAAAGAAGGACAAGAAAGCGGAGGCTGAACCCGAGGAACCAAAAGAGGAGGAGGAAGAGGTAGCAGTAACAGAGGTAGGAACTTGATCTAAAGACGCTTCATAAGAGCTTTGACGAGTTTTCCCAGTGTTTGTTTCTGTTGTTGAATATTTGTGCTCACTCTTGTTCTCTCTTCAGTCAACAGAAAAGAAGAAAAAGAAGAAAAAAAAGAAGGTCAAAGAGGAGGAAGAAGATGATGACTGAGAGAGTAGAGAGTGTATATATTTTCTGTTTTAGTTTTTATGTCATTTTAGTTTTGTGTCATACATTTATATCTAATAAGGGCAAAGAGTTCACATTAAAGAACAAAATTATATCTCCTTTTATCACTGCAAGTGAGTCGTGGTTCGAAATCTCACTGAGTACATTTCCAGTCGTAAAATGAGTGAATAATGTAATTTTTTTTTTTTCATTTCTGTGTAATAAGTTTGAAATCTGCTACCTTGATTTTTATTTGTGAACACATCTGTATCAGACATGTATCAAAGTCAGCACAGAAGCTAAAAAGCAATGATTCCCCAGTTCTCTTTTTATGTCGAAGACAGAACATCTGCCCCGGTGAAATACACTTTTTTTTTTTTTTTTGCTGTAATGGTGTATTTTGGTTGTACGCGCTGCAGCTGTATGAATATAAAAATTATGTGCCACTAACTTGTGTCCACTGTGGTTGCTGTTTAGCAAAAGTTACATAGTGATGAATCAGTAAAAGTGCACAATACACTTGATTAGATTACCAATAGGTGGAATGTAAATTAGTACAGAAGTACTTAGATCTTCTACCACTGTATAAAAATAAAGTCTTGAATTCAAAACCATAGAAGAATATTAGTATCAAAATATACTTATGTGTGCCAGAAGGATGCAGAATGGCACATTTAAAAATAAAACCAGATATTATTGGATTGTAATTAGTGATTTATTAATGTGTATATTTTAATGCTGCAGCAGATAAAGGTGGGACTAATTTTATATTTGAAGAGTAGTTTAACCTATAATCAATATAGTCATCTATCAAATAAACAATGCAATGAAAAGTACAGTATTTGTACATAAAGTAGCATAAACTTAAAATACTCAAATAGTATGAGTACATATTTTACTCGAGTAAATGTATTTAGTTACATTTCACTAAAGATTTTACCTACAAAACACGAGCTCAAAATTGACTTTTCCCCCATCGACCAATTACAACAGTAATGTGCAACTGCTGCATCAGCATATCCAATACAGTATAACAGGAAATGAGTACTTTTATTTTGATAATTACTAATTTCATGTACATTTTGCTAAATAATTAAACATTTACGCATAATGGCATATTTTTCTTCAGTTTAGATTATTTAAATTTCTTATATTAAAGACAATTTACATGCACATAACATCTACAAAAAGGAAAATATAAAAACAAACGAAGAATAAAAAAAGAAGGTAAAATTTTAACGCAACCATCTTTTAAAACTAGATTTTTTAACATAGTACAAGCTGCTATAATTTTAATAGATTTTTATTTTAGAGAGTGAATTGAATAAAATATTGTTAATTATAACAGAGTCAAGGATCTGAATGCTGGAGCTAGTACTGCCAGACATTACTAGAGGAGCACAGATCCGCATCCTCAATCACCTCTGCTGAATCTGTGCTCTGCTGGAGAGCCTTACTTTAGTACCACATGGCACGACTGACTACATGAGAGACTCAGATGTGTTATGAAGGAACAGATAAAGCATTGATTTGTAGTGTTAGTGGAGAAATACAGAATTAATAATGTCGCAGTTACAAGCGAGGTTCTTCACGGAGAACAAAAGGTGAGCTCGGATTTCCTTTTAACGACACATCGGGAAACTAAAAAGGCACAGGAGTGGCTAGCAGGCTGGCTAACGAGCTGTAACTCACAGTAAACAGTCTTGTGAGACTCTACTTTGCGTTTTACTCGTTCATGTGTACTGTAAATGTTAAGTTAGCCTCCAATTACTGCCCCTTACTGTTTGAGGCAAATGTTTTTAGCTTGTTGATTCAGCCAGCCATCCCAAAATATGATTTAACTCACATTTACATCTGTTATACAGCAACCTGTCTGATAAATTAATAGTTTAATATTTAATGTGTGTGTGTGTGTGTGTGTGTGTGTGTGTGTGTGTGTGTGTGGATTTGATGGGTTACCATGTAAATCCATGCCTGTATGTTTATGTTGCTTTATTCTTTTATAGGTATGTTGTAGATGATGTCCCTTTCTCAATCCCTGCTGGAGCTGAAGTGCTGGACCTCAGCAATGTCATCAACAAACTACTGGAGGCTAAAAATGGTAAAGATAAATCACACTCTGCTTTAAACGTTATTAAGTATGTTTTACTATGTCTGGCACACAGCGGAGTCTACATTTGGAGAAGGGCTGTTGAAACTATGAGAGCCCAGAAATGATCTTTCTGTAGCATCTTATTGTGAAAGAATTTACATCCGGTTATCTAAATATAAGCACAAACAGACATTTAATATGTAGAAAAGGTGATCTGAAACAATCTTCCGGCTTCAAGTTTTATGACAGATTACAAATTAGGGTAGTGCAGTTAATATCAAATCTATTTATCACCTTATGATAGGATTATTATCACTTTATGTTTGTACTAAGCTTTACTTCTCATTGTGTGTATTGTCTTTTCTGTTGTTTATACCAAGTTATATCAGATCCTTCACAATATTCCAGTACGTGATTAAAAACGCGTGTAATATATGTTGAATTAATATGTTGTCTCTCGTTTCTTACAGCATCTCACAGCAAAGTGGAGTTTGATTTCCTGGTCAGGGGTCAGTTCCTGCGAACGTCGCTCTCCACTCACATGGAGACAGAAGGCATATCAACGGTATGTCCGTCCTCAAAGCTTTAAATGCTGTGTGTGTCTTTTGCATTAAGGCACTCAGTACTTCTAGTGACTCACAGTTGGTAAAGCTTGTTTCAGATATTTATGCATCAGTGCGTCTGTCTCTGTGTTTCAGGAAGACGTGGTGGAGATAGAGTACGTAGAGAGGATCACGGCTCCAGAGCCTGAGGAGTGTATGATGCACGATGACTGGATTAGCTCCGTAGATGCCGATGCTGAATGGTAAGATGACAGACACCAAATCCCTGACTAGAAAGTGTATGTTTGTACAATACAGTCATTTTTTAGTCTGACTACTTTTGTGCTTGTGATTGCTCACTTTTTATATCTTTTTTTTTTTTTTTTGCAGGATCCTAACAGGGTCATATGACAAGACGGCCAGGATCTGGTCAGTGGAGGGCAAGGCGGTGATGACGGTGGCCGGACACACAGATGTGGTCAAAGACGTAGCCTGGGTGAAAAGAGGTGAGCGGGGCGCAATAGCAGACACCCACTCCGCCGGTAATAATGACACAACCTTTCTTAAAAACACCTGTGTTGGTTAATTCTGCGCAGACGGTCTGACCTCTCTGCTCCTGACGGCCTCTCTGGACCAAACCGTCCTCCTGTGGGAGTGGAACTCGGAGAGGAACAAGGTGAAAGCCAGACACTGCTGTCGGGGACACACGGGGAGCGTCGACACCGTTGCCACAGACCCCACCGGCTCAAAGGTAAAAGGGGGATGCAGTCGAGATGAGTTGGAGGAGGATGAGGGACAACTTTAAGGGCTTTCATGGTTGTTATTTGTGTTTCTCCCACATAGTTCTGCAGTGGCTCCTGGGACAAAATGTTGAAGATCTGGTCAGCAGGTAGGTTGCCAGAATGATTGATTGCATCTGAAGCATTACTGAATTTAAAAAAAAAAGTAAATCTCTAACAAGCTACAACCTTTTCCCTGCGCTCTCAGTGCCCACAGATGAGGCGGACGAGGTCGAGGAGCCAGCTGACAGGCCGAGGAAGAAACAGAAGACTCAACAGCTCGGCCTCACCAGAGTGAGTGGGCTATATGTATATATAAAGACCGACGCATTAGTCAAAGTGTCGAATGTAAGGTTCTCATTTTCCCCCGGACACAGACTCCCCTGATGACGTTATCCGGACACAACGAGGCAGTGTCGTCTGTCCTGTGGTGCGACAGCGAGGAACTTTGCAGTGCATCATGGGACCACACCATCCGCGTGTGGGACGTCGAGACGGGAGGAATGAAGACTACGCTGGTGAGAAAACACACCGACAAAGCAGAACTTGTAGAACAAACTAAATTATTTAGTAATAGACAAAGATTTGTGACTTTCTTTGTCCTGGGTTTTGCCTCTCAGGCTACATGCAGGTGAAACTGAACCTGAGAATAAAACTACAGGCACTATTTTATGTTTTTTTTTTGTCTGCATTTTTATTTACAGTCATTATCTGAAGGTCTATTTGTGACTTAATGTCTTCTTTTAGTCTGATAATGTTATACACTCTCAGTGAATGTCGTCTTCTTCATGCTTTTGATTGTGTCACATAGTTGCACTTTTAAACTCAAACAGGGGAAAACACTGTTGTCTTGTAAAATTAGAAACATTTGGAAACTCTATTTTTTTGTCCTTTCCACAGACGGGCAGTAAAGTGTTTAACTGTATTTCCTACTCACCTCTGTGTCGACGGCTGGCCTCAGGCAGCACAGACAGACACATCAGACTGTGGGACCCTCGCACCAAAGGTACCATAGTGCTCTTAATACCACAGACGTCTCAGTGCCATACACAATCATAGCTGTGTTATAGCAGCAGCTGTTTTATTTCCACCCCCTGCGAGCACTTTTCCTCGCTCTTCCTCTTCATGGGTATAAACGCTTCCTCTCCTCTCCAGACGGGTCGCTGGTGCTGCTGTCTCTGACCTCCCACACTGGCTGGGTCACCGCCGTCAAGTGGGCGCCGTCACATGAGCACCAGCTGGTCTCCGGTTCCCTTGACAACCTGGTCAAACTGTGGGACACCAGAAGGTCTGTGAAAGACGTAGTTCACAGTGTGTACTTTGGAATATTTGTGCTCCAGTCAGAAGGCAGTATCAACCATGTTTAATACTTCCCTCTCCTCTCTGTGGCACCAGCCCATTGGCTCCCACTGAATACAGGCTGATTAAAAAAATTAATTAAAAAAATCAGTGACCTAATTAAATGGTCTGGCAGATATGGTTACTGTGGTTACCGTGCTATTTTCTCCTCCCTCACAGAACAGACAGAAGAAGGTTTACAAGGTCCGGTCCTGACCCCCTAGTTTGGTGTTTTTTTTAGACATTTTCAGATAAAGGGTGCAAAGTGTCTCTTCCCTCTTTTCAAGCTAAAGAAATCATTAATAAAATTTAATATAAAAAAATTGGATTTGCTGAAACATGCATCGTCACAAAGCTGATAACAGCGCTGTTTCTTTGTGGGTGGTGTTTGTCACAGGAGCACGATAAGTTCTTTGCACTGAATAAATCCCAGTTCCTCCTTTTTTAGTATTTTCACTCCATCAAGGCTATTATACTTTCAAATAGACTTTCATTTCATGCTCCGCAGATAATTAGCACTTATGCTGGGTCATTATCCGTGCAGTTACAGTATGAAAAGGTCATTTGCGCAGACATGTAGAGCAGGACATCCTGTTCAGTCCACACATCTGAAAGTAAACTGCTTTCTGCCAGAGGTGGAACAAGCTTCCCGTCTTTGTCTATAAAACCAAGGAGCTGTTCCAGCATACACCCACTGCATCCCAACACTAGTGACTTTTTTTTGTGGGTCTCATATTCTTTACTCTGTGTGTAATAAAAGGCATTCAGTGAATACAGTTAACATGTGTGTGTTTCTTTCCTGTGTGACGCAGCTGTAAGGCTCCTCTGTATGACCTGGCGGCCCACGAGGACAAAGTGTTTTGTGTGGACTGGACAGAAAGTGGGGTAAGATGAAACAAAAAATTGACCAACATACTGAAGAGTCTATGTGTGCCTCATGTAAAATCAGTGTATCATTTGCTGTCTCTTTTATCTGTTTCTATTTGCAGCTGATGCTGAGCGGAGGTGCAGATAACAAGCTGTACACCTACAGATACTCAGCCTGTCAGACAGATGCGGGGGCGTAGGCTCCACATTCGGACTGCAGAGATCCACCTCGTCAATCACTGCACTACGGACAGACCTACCGTATATTACACACAATATCAGTGTTGTGTCAGGCAGACGAAAGCAGCAGTGGTTTTGACTTCTCTACTGTACAAAACATTGCTGGCTTTGTTTGTTGCTGTTCTGGTTATTTTTAGACCCGCTTTCATTTTTATGCATTTTTCTTATGGATTGTCTTTTGTTTCCCTGTAACCCCAAGAAAACTATAAATTAATTTTGTCACCTAAAACGTCTCCTCTATTTAATGTGTCGTTGTTTAGTGGTTTTCTTTGTGGAATTAACAACAATTACCAGAAGAAATTCGACATACAAGTCATTAAATTATTTAATTTTTATTGGTTTCTTTACCTTCAGGAGGACTAGTTAGACTATTGATGATCGAAGTAAGAAATCAGTAATTATGCTCTTGTACTGGGAATTTCCATTAAATATTGTGTGTTGGGGTCTGACGTGTTTTACATATTTTCACATTATTAACTTCCTCATGTTTTCACTAGCAAAAGAAAACCCTGTTGTCTGGTGAATAGCTGCAGATCCTTTTCCTCCTCAGACTGGTTCGACCAGAGAGGGGATAAAACAAAGAGTTGTCACTCTTATCTCCCCACTGTGGCTGTTTTTTTTTATTGTATTAAAAGATCAGAGTATGCTTTTATTGAAAAGAGGATATAGATATGGCTAATTCTGCCATTTTATTTACTCTGTTTCCCTTTGAAACCAAACAAGCAGAGAAACAGGGAGGTTATAATCCAACAGAAGAAGTTTAAAGTGGGTTGATAAACATTCATCCTTTTCAACATTTATCAGATAAGGCCAATGTTAAAAAATGTCATGCATAACAATAAACCAGTCTGCAAACGTGAGTGGTCCTAAGCTGACTTAAAAAAAAAAAAAGAGTCATATCCCACATTTCATTCACAGACTTTTAGACACATCCAACATCTCACTAGCATCAAACTATAACCCCTGTTTTCTCCGAGCAAGACAACTGCAACACACTGAATGTGAGGATCCTGGTTATGAGGCTTTATTAGGGCCACTCTTGATATCTTCTTCATCCTTGCAATAGACGATCTTCGGTGTGGCCTGAGCGCAGCAGCAGCAGCAGCAGTAGAAGCAGCAGCAGTAGAAGCAGCAGCAGCAGTAGAAGCAGCAGCAGTAGAAGCAGCAGCAGCAGTAGAAGCAGCAGCAGTAGAAGCAGCAGCAGCAGCAGCAGTAGTAGAAGCAGCAGTAGAAGCAGCAGTAGAAGCAGCAGCAGTAGAAGCAGCAGCAGTAGAAGCTGAGCAGTAGAAGCGGCGGTAAAAGCAGCGGCGGTAGTAGAAGCGGCGGCGGCGGTAGAAGCGGCGGCAGTAGAAGCAGCAGCGGTAGAAGCGGCAGCAGCAGTAGAAGCAGCGGTGAAAGCGGCGGCAGCAGTAGCAGCAGTAGCAGTAAGCAGCGGTGAAGCGGCGGCGGCGAGCGGCGGCGGCGGTGAAGCGGCGGTGGAGAGCGGCGAAGCGGTGGTAATGGCGCAGCAGTAGAAGCAGTAGAAGCGGCAGTAAGCGGTGGTAATGGCAGCAGCAGCGGTGAAGCGGCAGCAGCAGTAGAAGCGGCAGTAGCGGAAGCGGTGGTAATGGCGGCGGCAGCGGCGGTAGCGGCGGCGCGTGAAGCAGAAGCGGCGGTGGCGGCGGCGGTAGAAGCGGCAGTGGTAGTAATAGCGGTAATAGTAGTGAAAGCGGCGGCAGTGGAGCAGCGGTGAAGCAGCGGCAGCGGTAGAAGCAGCAGTAGAAGCAGCAGCAGCGGTAGCAGCGGCGGTAGAAGCGGCAGTAGAAGCAGCAGCAGTAGAAGCAGCAGCAGTAGAAGCAGCAGCAGTAGAAGCAGCAGTAGTAGAAGCAGAAGCAGTAGCAGTAGCAGTAGAAGCAGCAGCAGTAGAAGCAGCAGCAGCAGTAGAAGCAGCAGTAGAAGCAGCAGTAGAAGAGCAGCAGCAGTAGAAGCAGCAGCAGTAGAAGCAGCAGCAGTAGAAGCAGCAGTAGTAGTAATAGCAGCAGTAATAGTAGAAGCAGCAGCAGCAGTAGTAATAGCAGCAGCAGCGCCCCCTGGTGTCCGGACGGCGCCACGGCCACTTTGCATATCCTGTTTCTGTGAGTCAGTGATCGGCTGTCGGGAGAGGAGGCTAGCCGAGCTGCGCCGCATAGATGCTCGCACTGCCGGACAAAGCCAAAAGCAAGGTGAAAGGTACACTTATCTTTTTTATTATTATTATTATTACTATTACATTATGAGTGTAACATAAAACCCCACTCTGGTTTAGTTTAAATGTCCATAAAGGTATTTTCTAACGTGGCCTCGACACAGTTGCAGCTAGCTTAACTGCTGCTAGCGTACAACAAGCTGCTTCACTGACGTTTTCCAGCAGGTTTTTTGACGACTCCACTTAACATTTATTTCTACTTGTATCCCTCTATCGTCAATGTGTCCACACTATTAATGAATGCCACCCTTTTTTTTCCCTCTGTGTTTCCGTGTCATGTGCTGTAACTGTACACCTGCTCGACAACCAGCTGGCTCTCGACTCCCCTGAAGTCGCAGGTGTCTGATCCCTGCTCCCAACAACCATATTAGATTAGCTCGTTTCGCCTGTAGCACCGATGAGTTTTGGTCCACGGATTAATCCTGTATGACAACCGCTTATAACTCGATTATAAATTCACTTTTGGGGGGAGGGGAGGGAGGGGAAACAGCTGTCAGCTCTGTTGTTATCATGCCTGCTGATGTGTGTGTGTATCCCAGAAAGATTCAACAGGGTGGAAAACAGCTGCAGTTTCATTGTTTCACTCATTGTTACACAGTTTTTACACAAAGTCTTATCTAGTTAAAGTCTGCAGGCTTCAGTTTTAGATGAATGCCTGCTCTTTCTGTGCATAGGAGGGGGAAAAAAAGGAACAATCATACACATGTATTGTTATTTTTCTTTGTTTATGACACTTTTGGATGCTTTTTTCCTTTATTCCTCCAAAGCTTAAACTTTGCTCTGTTTTTTGTCTTCAGATCAGAGAGAGGTAGATATCCAATGATGGACGGGTATGTGTTCATATTCACTAAACTGATAATAAGCTGCAGACAATACCATTATTCTTCTCACTATAAATAACACTGTTGTTATTAGCACAACTACACAATCAGGTAGAAACTATTAGTTAACTAATCAGTCGGCAGCTCGTCTGATAATCGATTATTAAAGTAATTTTTCATGCAAAAATTCTGTATTAGGCCTCTCAATATGGAGATTTCCTACTTTTATCTTATTTATATCACAAATATGTTTTTCCTTTTGGATTTTGGACTGACAAAAGACGACATTTAAAGACATCACCATAGACTTTTACACACTGGGGAAATTTTTCACCATTTTCTGACATTTTATAGACCAACCGATTAATCTAGAAAATAATCTGTAATGAAATGAATATCCTACTAGTGTCCCTGACTGAGCTGTTGGCCACAGGTTCACGGGGGACATGCTGAGCGGCGGCCGGGCTCTGCTCGGTGAGGACAGCTCGGTGATGGCTCGCATGCAGAAGAAGTTCTGGAAGACCAAGCAGGTCCTCATCAAGGCCACGGGCAAGAAGGAGGACGAGTACGTGGTGGCCTCAGACGCCGACCTGGACGCCAAGCTCGAGGTAGGAGAGGAGACCGCTCTTGTTTTTGGTGTTCAGCACAAGTTGCAACAACACAAACTGTGTTTCCATGTTACGTCTTATTCCACCAGTACTTTATAAAACCATTTCTTCAGTTGAAAACAGTAAGACTGCCACGTTAGTCTTCTGTAACAACCTTTGTGGGAGATTGTCAGTCAGGGTTCATTCAGAAAGAGACTAGCGGTGGCTGTGGCTGGTCCCTGCCACCTCCCTCCTCCCCAATGCCCTCAGGTAATGCTAGCCTGGAACAAACCAAATCAGTATGTAAAAACATGTAGAAGAGTCATAGTAAGCATGCTAATTGTTAAGTCGAGAATGCACGTAATTGGTTAGGTAGTCATGGTGGTCTGTGTGTGTACGTGGACCAAGTTCAGTAGTGAAAGTAGTACTCAGATCCATTACTTAACTAGAAATACCAGTACAGCTATGTAAAAACCCTACAAACTTAAACTGGTTATGAAGCAGTCTTAATTTAATCCTGATGTGTAGTTATGGTATGGTATTTATCGGCTGGATTCCACTTGAAATCAATGAAATGAGACGGTAGAAACTACTGCTTTTATCTACAGGGGGCGCCAAAAACAAAAACAGTTCATTGTAGCTGTTTTGAGTAAAAGAACAGAAGTTTTATCAGCTAATAATAAAAGTACTTATTCTGCAGTAAAATGTCCACTGTGGCTGATCTGACATTATTAGATGCATCAGTGTATAAGCAGTATTTTACTGTTGTAGCTGCTGGAGGTGGCGCTCGTTTGAACTACTCTATATACAGTTTTGTAGCTGGGTCCAGTAGTTTCCCAACCTAGGGGTCGGGCCCCTCTAAAGGGTCATAAGATAAATCTGAGGCATCATGATTAATGGGACAAATTCATTTTTGGTGACTTTTCTGTAATAAAATGATGGATAATTTGACGTCTTTGGGCTTTAAACAGTTATTAAAATGAATCTATTTGAGAAGTTTAGTTTAAATGTCTCTTTGGTGGAGCTGCTAACAGCTAAGAGACGTCTGAAATGTGACCAGGAGCCATAAATAGACACTGATTTTTGTGTGGGAGTTAAAGTTTTATCTTCTCCACATATATATATATATATTTTTTTTTTATGTCAAATATCGCCCCAAATGTATCAAGTAAGTACAGCTGTCGGTCATTACAGTTTTAATTATACGTGAGATGTCTCGCACCACATCACAGCTGTTAAAATCCTGTCTACAGAGTACAGTTTGTACTTCTGCCTCTCAGAGAGCGGACAGTTGGGACTGGCTGAAACCAGGCTGCCATTTAGTTGTGACAGGCTGGCGGACGGTGCGGTCCTGTGAGACGGGGACGTGGTAGAGTTTCATTGAGCTGTTAGAAAGAAAGAGAGAGAGACAGACAGAGACACACACACACACACACACACACACACACACACAGTGAGGCTTTTGTTTTCTCTGGAACAAGATCAGGCTTCTTCTGTCCTCCTGCTCATTGTCCCTCCATTCAACCCCGGTGAGACATAGTCAGAAAGGAAGGGGAAAGTGTTGAAGGGCGAGAAGGAGAGTACATTCAGAGCAGATTTTTGAGAGCAGGTCTGTTTGTGTTGCTTTCCTCTATCTCCTTCACACATTTCATCTTGACTTTGAGCTCCCTGTTGAGCAGCAGAGCATTAAAGCCACCGGGGCAGATTAGATTTGGAGCCACTTCTGGACGGCAGCCTTACAGCTAACCTGATTTTATCGGGGGTTTTTAATCTCAGAATTGCCTCGGAGCATTTTCAAATTTCATCTCGGCTGCTTTTGCTTTGTGTGTGATATGAGCTGAATGAAACATCACAACAGATTTTAGTCAATTTGGGCTAAACATGTTTGATAGCTGACATGTTTGTATCACTTTTCAAGCATCAGAACAACATTTCATCCAGTTGAAAGTGAATGCATCCGTATTGAATCATATGTTATATTATTTTATTCACTTTCTTCAGTGTCTTTTACTTTGTGTACATGATTGAGAAAACTGCAGCGATGTGTCTGTGCTGCACAAATACAGGTGTGGATGTTTATCTCCATCTACCTCTGTTTATCCCCTGCCATATTACTGTGACTCAGACAGAGCAGTTGCCATTACATAAAGGTGATCTTGAAGAATCGATTAGTTTTGCTCAATAAACAGATCTCCGGCTGCGTGCAGGTCCGCTCCTCTTTTACTGGCGCCGACGGGTGTTTGGCCACAGCCTCAGTGACTGAAGGTGGTGACTGTTTATTCTACAGTTAATCAGTAACATGTTCAAGTCACCTCCTCCCTCTGCTCTATTACAGCCTTAAGTTGGCGCTTTTAAACCCGTTTTTAAAATCATGTGCTCTCCACGCACAAATCAAAGCACATCTCTCACATTAAAACAAAAACAAAAGGCGTAGACAAAACCTACAAACCACAAAGAACAATACACTAGTACAATATATTTAAATATGCTATAAACTTTAGTAACAGATGTAAAATAGAACAAACAGGGACGTGTTGCTCGTAGGAGAAGGCTCATTAGAAGAAGAACATTTTCATCTTCCCTTCCCATCAGACGGCAGCGCCGGAGTGGCCTCGAAATCTGTGTTGCTATGACGCGCTCTCCTCATTTAGTCACTGTTGTTGTCTAGCAGACGGGAGGAGAGGTGGCCGACTGCCAGACAGAAAGCAAGACAGAGGAAAATATGCTTTGTGTACTGACTGAGAGGTTACAGACCTCACACTGGAAAATATAGTCTTGAAAAATAAGTTACACAAAGTGGCAGAAAATCTTTAAAAAAAGGTCCCAAGAAGTATAACAGCAACCTGTTTTGTGTGTCAGGTATTCTAATCGGACCGGTTTTGTCTCTGCAGTTTTTCCGCTCAGTTCAGTCCACGTGCACGGAGCTGCTGAAGGTGATCGAGAAGTACCAGCACAGGATCACACGTGAGTGACACAGTCAATACTAGACCTACTACATGATATCTCCTCACTGATCAACTGTAGGAGGTGTTAATTGCTAAATAATCCTGACAAACTCTTAATCACAGCACATGGTTAGTTTATGTGTTCATTAGTTGTATTTTCTCACTTCCTAATGTAAACATCCCTATAAATTAGTGTCAGTGGTCACGATTATGGACTTTAAATGCATAATTAAATGAAGAAGAACAATAAGGACATCTAACAAACATGTTATTTTCAATTTCTCCTCTTTTGGGAAACACTTCTTCAGCTTAAGATGGTTCATGAAATGCATTTAACCACAGTCAAAAAAATGTGGGTTCAGGGAATTTGAATTGAGTACAAAACCTCAGTCTATACGTCTCATTTAGTTTTTTATCCTTTGTGTGTATGCGGAACTTAAACTTTGAGCTCTTTCTCCAGGCTTGTCTCAGGAAGAGAACGAGCTCGGCCTGTTCCTGCGCTTCCAGGCCGAACACGATCGCACAAAGGCTGGCAACATGATGGACGCCACCAGCAAGGCCCTGTGCACCTCCGCCAAGCAGAGGTCAGTAGCAGGAAATGACGAAGCCGATGACTATAAGCAACGGATATACAGTGTATTCTAGACAAACTGATTTTATTCTCCAACATCCTCACACTGCATCTTTCCTTTTTTTTTTTTTTTTTCCAAAGGATGGCTCTTTGCCCGCCATTGCACCGCTTGCACCAGGAAGTGGAGACGTTCAGGCGGCGCGCCATCGCTGACACGCTACTGACAGTCAGCCGTATGGAGAAGGCCCGCACCGAGTACAGAGGAGCTCTGCTCTGGATGAAAGACGTCTCCCAAGAGCTGGACCCAGACACCTACAAACAGCTGGAAAAGTTCCGCAAGGTGGGAGGACTTGCTGGTTTGGGTGAATCAGGGCGCGGGGTCGATACTCCTTTTATGATCTAACTGGTTTCATTGCCTCTCTGTCGTCAGGTCCAAGCCCAGGTCAGAGGGACGAAGGGCCAGTTTGAGAAGCTGAAGAATGACGTGTGTCAGAAGGTTGACATGCTGGGAGCGAGCCGCTGCAACATGCTCTCGCACTCCCTCTGTACCTACCAGGTATATTGTCTCTGTTAGCTTATGTTTCAGTCACATTCCTCTATTCACCACTCATGTTTCTGGAATAAGCCTCTCTAGCTGTCTACCTGCTTATTTGTCTCATTTCTTCAACATTTCTTTTTCCTGTTACGGCAGACCACTCTGCTGCAGTTTTGGGAGAAGACAGCCCACGCCATGTCAGGGATCCACGAGGCCTTCCAAGGACACGTACCATACCAGTTCACCACACTCAAAGTACTAGAAAGGACACAGTATGAATGCCCAATTGTGACTGCAGTGGTCTGTGTCTTTATATTCCATTTGACTGTTTTTCTCCCCTCCTACAGGACCTGCGAGACCCACTGGAGGAAATAACGGACTTACAGAAACAAGAGGATAAGAAGGAGAAAGCTCTACAGAGCAACACAGACAAGTGAGAGAACACGCTAAACACTCTTCTGTATCGTTAATAAAGCAAATGTAGTGTGATGTTTGTCCATTCCTAACACACACACACAGGTCGTGCCATCCCATCTGTCTCTGTTTTTACGCAACTGCTCTCCTCTGTCCTCTGCTGTCATTAACACACACACACACACACACACACACACACACACACACACACACACACTTCTGTCTTTTTCCATCTTTATATCTGCTCTGCCCTTTGTCTGTTTTTCTGCACACGACCACCTCAGCTATGTCTTCATCAAACACGAGGCCAACGTAAAGCCCGTGTTTTCTTACGAGTAAGTGTGTGTGTGGCAGGTTTTAGACGTGACGATCAGTAGTGATCCAGGTGGTAGTTGAGGGCTTTTAGAGTAGCGGCCCCCGAGACTGCAGCTCCAAATCAAATAGAGGCTACTGCAGCGCTAAAAATAGCAAATAGTCTCGCCAGCTAGATAAAGCACTTTCTCATTTTTCTCCCCCCCTCCGCCCTCCCTTCCTCCTTCCTTCCTTCATCCTCAGTCTGGTGTCCTTGGATGACGACAAGCCATCAGGAAGTGCCTCCAACGCAGGTAGGTGCTGCCCCCTGTAGGCTGACACACAGAGTTAAAGTTTTTTTTCTCAGTTACTGTGGCACAACCTTAGAACCTTAAAACATGAAAGGATCAGACGGACGCCATGCCGAAGGATCTTTGAGTATTATAAGAGCAAACCGGAAATGAAACAGGATCCATTGCTTATTATCTGTGAACAAACAATGTGAAGTGTCAGTTTAGTAATTTCACCTCTGTAAAGCTGGAATCTAGAGCTCAAATAATACATAATAAATTGGTCAATAAGCACCTATTTTAGGTTCGATTTAGTTCCGAGCATTCTCTAGTTCCAGCTCTTATTTGTGAAGATTTGTTTGTTTTTGTCTTATGTCAGTGATTCTTACATGACCTCCTCCTGTGGGTTAATGGAAACATCAAGGGTTCAAGAAATGTATCATGGGATAGGTTCTGGAGTGCTGGTCAGACAAAATAAGCAATTTCCAACATACGAAATAAAATAAACAATCATCAAAACACAAGTAGAAATTGTTTTCCTCAAATGGAAACTTCAGTCTGTTCACTTTAATGTCGCAGTGGCAATTATTGCTCTAAAATACTAGAATATATATAATGTAGATATCAAACTCAATTTAGTATAATAAAGTATAAATAATCTCCTTGAGAAGCAATGAGCTGCTTTTTAACAGCACTCCTGTTATTTTTGTTTTTTAATGTCAATTTGTCGAATGAAAAATCATGTGTGTTCCCTTCCAGACCCCGCCCACAGCAGTGACAGGCAGAGCCAACCCAGTGACAGTGGTAAGTTTTCCTGTGTGTGACTGTATTTTCTATAGCCAGCACTAGTGTAAACAGTACAGATGTGTACATTGGGATTGCTGTTGCTGACTGTGGACCGGATGCCTGTTGGCTTTATGATCCTTTTAATCCCAGCGCACCAGAACACTACTAAACCTACTCCAGCTCTGCAAGACCTCAGAGGACTGTCAGTGGGCTCTGATGACGACTTGATGCTCATGGCCTGTAATCTGCCGCAGTCGGCGCTCCCAGCCCCAGAAAACTTCCCTCTCCAGTCCCAGCTCCTGCCTCCTCTTCAGAGTGAAGACCCCAGTGAGGCCTGGGGCTTTAGAAGCCTCCAGTCCAGCCTCTCGCAGCTGCCTGCCTCCGGTAAACCGGCTTGCTGTCTCCTTTTTCCTCAGCCTGTGAATTCTTGCTGCTTTTCAGCTTTCTCATCTGACTTTGCTTCGTTGTGAACAAATTCACCTCTCCTGGGATTTCCACTCTGCTTCCTTTTGCACTTTGGATCTGGATTCAGTCTGCGAGGGGCTTTGCTTCCTTCACCTGTGTCATCTTCTTCGCTTTCCGAGACTCACTTCTTTGATTTTCTGGGCTGTATTTACAGTGAAGTTAGCTCAGCATACAGACTGGAAACAGCTATCCTAGCTCTATGCAACATCCTTTTTTCTAACCAAGGGGAAACCATGAATTCTGTGTTTGAGCAGCTTGAATGACGGCTGTGATGTGAGACGGATCAGCAGACTCACACAGAGAAAAGAAAGCTCTGCAAACAAGTACTTGACGATAAAGCCAGGCGTCGAGCCGTTCAACAGGGCAAATGTTTGACAAAGGGGGAATCCTACAGCTTTTAACAACATCCAACAGAGCACACCTGGGCTTTGCCATGCAAGTATACATGGGAAATGTAGTTCCGTGGTCCAAATACCACAAGAGGATTCCCTACTGGCAAACGTTTACCCTTATGAAGACCTAGAGCAGGGATTCAGATACATTAGATTTAATAAATCAAACTATTTCTCATCATCAGACTCCCTCACTATGTTGATAGTGGCTGTCATATTTAGGTTTGCTTGTCAAAAGTCAGCCCATCTTGTATTTCACGTCATTCTGAATTAATCTTGCCAACCTGAATCTCGATAGAGCGCTCTTGTTTATTTTGTTTTCCTCAAATAAAATTCCCAGCCCTCTTTCATAAGCAGGAGAAGCACAGGTGGCTCAGCTCCTGCAGTTACTTGGAAAGAAAGCTTGGTTTCAGCATTAAAGATCCTTCTTCTTGACAACTACCTCCTTTACTTGTTCTTTACCGAGGTCAATCCTCTGTTAACAACCTGTCTCTGCTTAGATCCTCATCTGGCCTTTTCAGAAGCAACATCTGGTCTAACACATCGCCCCTCTTGTCTTTCCTCCCTTCCCTCTCCTCTCAGGTGGCCCCCCCCACCGTGCCGGTACAGGGCTGAGACCAGAGGAGGAAGACGCCGAAAGGGGCGACATGGCTTTCCTCAAAGACCTCCTGAGCCCGGGCCCGGGGGCCAGCGACGAGTTCAGCAGAGAGTGGCAGGATGCTTTTGGGATGTTTGACCCTCCCAGCGTCCCTCCGTCGAGCACAGGAGCGGCGGGTAGCGGGCCGGCAGCGCGTCCGCCCTCAAACCCCCCCAGCCCCACAGGCTTCCTGCCCTCCCATCTGCTGGATCACAGCCTGAGCTCTACAGGTCAGCCACAGCGCACTCTGCTGGAGGGATGCGCTCACTGCAGCACACCGACCGATCACTGTTGGTGACACAGAAGAATAACTTTTATAATTCCTCTGCTCTGTCTTTCAGGCTGGGCAACCCCGCCTATGTTCCAAGCTCCGCCCCTTCAGCCGCCTCCTGAGCAGAACCAATCAGCTCAACCGGCTCCAAGTCCAGCAGCTAAAGGTAAACTCTCCTCAGTCTGCGTTCTTGTCTATGAAAAAGCAAAACTAAACCTAAACCTTCCTCTAACAACGTGTGTGTGTGTGTGTGTGTCTCTGTCTGTCTGTCTGTAGCCGCTCCAGGTGGATCCAAAGACATGTCTGCCTGGTTCAACCTGTTTGCAGACCTGGACCCCCTCTCCAACCCCGATGCCATCGGACGCTCCGCGGACGAGCTGCTCAACGCCTAAAGTTCTGTTTGTGTGTGTGTGTGTGTGTGTGTGTGTGTGTGTGTGTGTATGCAGCAGTGTGTGATTTCTGTCCAAGGATCTGGATATCAGCAAGTTTCCATGACAACAACCAAGTAAAAAAGAACACACATTAACATTGACAAACGCTCTTACAGGCTTTGACACACACTGACACACACACACTGACACACACTGAACACACACACACGCCTGCATTTCTGTCAGCAGGGGAGACGTGTACATATCCACACTTGCAAACACACACACACACACACACACACACACACTTGTATTTGTGTTACACTGGAAGATGTTATTTGACACTGCGAAGGGAAAACACTGTCAGTTGATTGTGAAACGCTCTCCTCAGCAGCTCACAGCTGCTCTGTGAATGACTGTTAACACCACACATGAAGCCACTGACTCATATGCACACAGCTGACCTCATGTGGCTTGTGTTACCTTTTGCCGTCAGTCATTGCAGCTTCTGTCAAGTGGAGAGAATGTTTGTGTTACAGGTTTATTTTGGACACATTTTGTTTTTTTTTTTTTTTGTTTTATTCATGTTTGCGTTGTTTGGGTGTGTGTCAGTTTGCTGTGTGTGCACACAACAAGGGACCCAGGATGTAAGAAAATATCTATTTACTGCTTAGTGTTGTCTCTACATGGTAGCACATGATTGACATAGTGTATGTATGAGATAAGATGGGACCATGAGCCTCTCACTCAACCTGTATTTGCACACAGAAACAGCAGCAGTTGAAGCTCAAGCTGCAACCAGGGGTCTGTATCCTGAAGCAAGATTAGCGGGTTATCCGGCGGTCTTTGGACTCTTGACTCTTTGGCGTCGCCATGCTGGACAACTAAACCCACGGCAGCAGGTTTAGTTCAGAGGACAGCTTCATTAGTAACCAATCCAGCCCAAGAAAAGAGTCTACAGTCATGCTAGCAGGTCTATAAGAGAGCTCAATGCTGACATGCAGATGTGTAGCAAGGGTAGTGCTAATCCTACATCCTACATCCCCACCTATAGAAACCCACACTGTTAATGAGCTCAGTAAAAAAAAATGTGAATGCAACTTTCATTTCACTCATATGGACCTTATCAGACATTTCTTCTCTACTTTTCTTGCCTTACTTTACTTTGACTGCTTCAACCGTGCGACAATAAAACACTAACAGTTCACTATGCAAAGTAAAATGCACCCGGAGTCAACTGAGCCAGTTATCCAGGATCAGTGACGTTAGGCCCGGTGAAGGCAGGAAACCCGAGGATGAACTCGCTTTGTGATACAGACCCCTGCACAAACTCTGGATCTTGAAGACTCCACCGGTTAAAAAGATAAATAACGTGACACTTTATTGATCACTGTAAGGAAATAGTCTGTGAGGGGGTTCAGCCTAATGGTCTGAAAGGTAACACTAAACTGTGAGCCGTCCGGTGGTGTCATTATGACGGCCTGAAGCGGACTCAGATTACAGGCAAAGTGTCCAAACTCTTCAACAGCCTCTTCACTTTCATCCTCTCACCTTCAGCCCGGATTGCCGAACGGGTAAAAATTGGATGAAATCATCTCCAGTCCCGTCTGTCGTTTCACAATCACGAGTCCAAGGCCAAGAAAAATGTGTGAAGGATGAAGCATTTATTTTGTAGTAATTTTCTCTTGAAGGAAGTTTAAACACAGGAATAAGATTATTTTGGGGTGGGTGGGTTATTTAAGTCTGATAAAGTAACGGCACCTAAGATGTATTGAAATGTATTTATTTTCTGATTCTAATCACCATTTGAAAAATCAGATGGTTTTGTTGTGCAGTACACTGAAGATAACGCTATAAAATAACACTAAAATACTGTGTATTTTTAGCTCTGTGTGTTGTGTATTTTGAGAATTCGCAGATGGATTGTGGAAATATAAGATTGTTTTATGGGAAAATAACACTGGAAAACTGTTACCATGTCATAAAATGGATTTCTAACTTCCCTAATGTGGGGAATTTCCTGATTTTCCTCATTTGTTTTTGGAGGGAAGAAAAAAAAAAACCATCCAACTCTTGACATTTTTGAATGTTAACAAACGGGGTGTTAAAGTGAAGAGTTGGTTTTAAAAATGTATTTTATGACATTTATGTGGTTGAGATGTGAATATGGCGTCCACATGCACCAACTGGAAGCAAATCCCTCATGAACTTCAGAGTGCATCATGGGGGGGAAAAATATTTTTTTGCAAGTCTCAGAAAACTTTTATACAAGCTGCACATTAGCGTCATTTAATTATCTTTTTTTCTTGTTTTAATGTGACATTGTGAGGAAAAAAACAGGAAGAAACTCTACTGATGCTCCTATCCAAGTGCAGCGATCACAAGGGAAGTGTTTCTGTCACATCATGTATTATACTTTTTACTCTTGATTTACACACGTAACAAAAAGAATGTATTTCTCATGTCAATCACAAATGCTTTATTTAATTCAACTATGCCTTTTTATTTCACTCGAGGGGTTTAACAGATGAAAACTTGGCAGTTCTGTTTCCAATAAACTGGACAAGCAAACAAAGAATCATTGTGTAGATTATTTCTTGCATTGAGCCTCATTCCAAAATGCTGTTTATCCACTTTGAAAAGAAAAAGAAAAAAAAGGAATATCTGAAATAAATCTGTATTATCCCATGTATGAATCTTCCAAACTACTTTTGTTGTTGTTTGTAAACAGACGTCTAAAAACGACGGTGTCGCCGTAGGTGTGATTGTTTTTCAGCAAGTGGATATCTCATTTTGGAACAGAACTCCTCGAAAATGTCACTTATAGAAACGTTACTCATGCCAAATCAGGTCACCGGATAAAATGACATCCACACTTCTCTCTACTTCTACTCTGCTACAGGTTATAACATCATTCAGGATCTCCATTGAGTGAGGCTACATAGATAGCAGCTGTTGGTTTGCTCTCTTGATAGTAGACTTGTTAGTGTGCGCTGAGAAGTTAGTATATCTTTTTTTTTTTCTTGTATCCTATTCACTACAACCTGAGATGGACGATGTAATCTATTCTCAATTAAAATTCTCTGCAGAGCCAATTACACTCCTGATAAATAAATACATTATTATTCACAATAATGAGACGTAGTAATTCACAGTACTCAGCGGAGAAAAAGCAGGAGGAGGAGGAGGAGGAGGGTTATATGGTACAATTGTTGACTCATTCAGATACATGTCTTTGTCAGCCGATAATACAAACACAGTGTGCCTCTATATTTACATATCCAGTACATTCCTATCCCACCGTAGCAGGCACAGTCAAGTAGTAATGACATATACAGGAAGATGGGCTGGGGCATGGAGAGGCTGTCCACCATTAAACTACACAGAGCTCAGACAATGTGCATGTTAACCATGTGGGGTGACGCGTGCATGTTAAATATGTTTCATTTTAGCCACAAGTCAAAAGATTTCTAGTCGGGCTGCACAATTAATCGAAATCTCCTAAAAGTAGAAGCTGCAAATATATATTCTGTGTTTTTTCTGCTTTTTTAAAACTTGAAACTGAGAATTTGAGCCATCATTTGACACTTCAACCAAAAAATAAAGGAATTCTTTTTCCTATAAGTGAGTATAGCTGAGTTCACGCTTTATCTGCCATTAAAATCATCGCAGAAGAAAAGTGTGTAGTGCAGCTTTAAGGTTAAAGTGAAATTCTTTGATTTGAATCCAAAAGTTTAAGGTTTGCCACTCCAGGCTGATCTGACCCTCCGCAGTGTAGTGTTCGAGTTTCACCGAGCCTCTCCGTGCTCAGAGCCCTGCAATTTCACAACAACACTGAGCAAGACAAAAGGAAATCAGCGTTACAGCGAAGGTGAGGGAAAGAAAAGGAGAGAAAGAACTGGAAAAAAAAGGAGGAACGGAAGAGGGGAGGGAGAAGGGGGGGGGGGGTTGTGATGGTGGCGGATTAAAAAGGGGACGTTTTGAGCAAAGGCTGGCGCTTGGGAAGGAGGGGCAAGCAGACACAGGTTGAACACGCTGCACACATCATAGCCCTGGCCTGTGTTTCCCATAGATACACACCGCCCAGGCAGGGGACCAGTTCACTGCTACCAGTTAGTGTAACAAAGGCATCGACTTGTACCAGTTTACAGTTAAATGGCTGATAAAAGTACAAAACAGATGTCTGGATTTAGCTCACAGGTGGTTTAAATATATCACTTGTATATTTCCCGCCAGTCCCCGCCTTTCTGTATGCATCTACGGCCACCGTAGTGCAAACATCATGTGCGTCGTGCTAAAGGGACGAACATGATCAGAGCACTACGCTGGTGGAGCGAAACTGAGCGGTCTAAAATATCAGGCACATTTTTAACTTCTCCTTGTCACGACCGTTCAAGTTTTGCTACGATATATCTGGCAGCACCAATATTAGCCTCCGTGGTCAAACTCTAGGTCGCCAAGGAAACCAGCGTTTTTTTTTTTTTTTTTTTTTTTTTTTGTAATGGAAGGCATATTTCATATCAAGAGAAATAACTACAGATAGAAAAAGAGATATGTCCGTGGAAAGGCGCCATGGTATAATACGATGAAATAAAAGAGTCTGTCCTTTTTCGCCCTTTTCCTCCCAAAAAACAGGAACATAACCAGCACTAAAGGTAGAAGAAAGCGATGAAATGTTAGCTGCAAACACCCGCACAGGGCTGCAGGACTCTCACGTTGTAGTCGTCTGAGGAGGAGAGGCAGTGGGAAGCGCTTTTTCAACAAGATAAGGACATCAGAGAGAGCTTAGCTGGCATGCTGAAGGCATTTTTTTTTTTGGAGCAGAAGGGTTGTTTCCTAGTTTCCAATGTTTTCGGATTTTGTGTGTGTGTGGGGGGGAGGAGGGGGGTTCTTTTTTTGGGGGGGATGGGGACTTCAACCTCGAGGGCCATCAGAAGCTCTCGGGCTCCTCCAGGAGGCAGGGCTGGGTGGACAGAGGCACGAGGGACGGGGACAGGCTTCGGAGGCCCACCCCGGGGCGGAAGTTGAGGTCCGGGGCGGGGAGTAAGGGCTTCAGGATGCTGACGAGGCAGAAGGCAGAGCCGCTGTTGGGGATGAAGTTGACCTTGTTGCGGTCGGGACACAGGAAGGGAGGGATCTCCTGCAGAGGTTTGGGCCTGGAAGCACACATGCAGGGACACAGTTAGCCTTCACGAAGGACGCACCAACACTTACATCACCTTTACAAGAAAACTGACGATGTGTTTACATTGTTCACAGCGCCATTATGGCAGAATGTAGCCTCGGGGACTATTTTCAGCGGCGGATGAATCCACATTTGGTGCTCTAGTGAGTATTTTTGCAGCAGTAGGAGGGTGTGTGTGTGTGTGAAAGGTCTAGTTTTGTGAAATCAAACTTTACTCTTCCATCTTTTATGTCCACATTTGAGTTTTTTTCCTACTCACATGGACTCCTCGAACACTTTGACCTTCTCGCAGCCCTCTGGAGGTTCTCTCTTGAACATGTAGCTGTTGTTGGGTCTGGGAGAGGCGGCGTATTTAGGCAGCGGGGAGCAGGGGCCCAGCTCTGAGGACAGGCAGAGAGAGGAGACTGGAGGTCAAAGGTCAGGGGTTAGACAACAGATCATGCTCAGAGAGACTTTGGCCGCGTGCACAATGTGTGTCACCTTTGTCCTCGTAGGGGCTGCCTCCACCCATGTCGTTGAGGACGGTGAGGTAGGAGGGCGAGATGGAGTCGGGACGGCTACTGCAGTTGCTATGGTTACCACTCAGGCCACCCCCTGAGGGAGTCTGTGTGTCGATGCTGCGCGTGCTGCTGCTGCGGCGTGGGGGGACCGGTGGGGGTGCGCGGTGCCCATCTGGGACATCCTGCGGCTGGTGTACAAACACAAACGCACAAATGAGGTCACAACAACAATGTTGCACGGGGAGCTCTAATCCCGGGGCCGGTGGCGGTGAGCGAATCCTTAAAAAACCTTGGATGTTCATTACGTCAGGGAAGGACAAAACACATTTCTACTAACACCCTAAACCCCGATCTATTATTCAGTGGAACTCACAACGATGGTCTCGTCCTTTTCAGGGGTGTCTTGGATGGTGATGCGTTCGATCTCCTGGTTGAGGCCCTCCACGCTGTTGCGGAAGCGAGGCGCCGATGACTTGGATATAGGGATGGGTATCAGAATGGTTTTGGGCATAGGCGACTGCAAGACACAAACACACACAGCTGTGGTTGATACACAGAGTCTGCAGCTGTTTACAGATGTTGCAGTGAGTTTCATTTTGCTGCAGTGAGCAGGAAAATATAAATATATGCTTCATATTTCTGGGCTTATTGCTCAGCCCACAAAAGAATAATTACAGCTGCACTTGTAATACCAACATCAGTATCCATAAATCAAAAGTATTGTCTGGAGACTTGAATTAAACACAAACAGAGACAGTGTCAGGACAACCCTGTGTCTCAAACATTGATTAAATACACATTGTTTTTAAAAACATGTAAATATCACTTCAATCTACATATGCTTTGCACACTCACATAACCCTCACAATGAAGAAGATGCCTCTTTAATAACAAACAAATGCCTCTTCAATAGAGCAAATGTTTGAGGGGGAGATTTTAAAGTCATTTAAACAATTAGAGGATACATTTGGTTTATGCTCTAAACATTTTTATAGATATTTATAATTGAGGAATTATTTAATGTCAAACAAATAATAACAAAAGTAATGAACACCCTGAAGCGACCATCCACTCCCATAGATATTTTTTCTAATAAAGATTGTGGAAGAAAAGAGTAACACAACAACTGTCACAAATATAGAAATGTTTCGATCACACATATATAAGAGTGTGTGAGGGGGACATAAAATAACTAATAGCCCTATTAAAGGATTCAGCTGGAAATTAAGGATGAGGTATTCTAGAAACTCGATTTTATTGTATCAAAATATGAGCGAAGTAAAACTGATTTGTGCTGGAGGGATTGTAAGAAGGTTGGTGATCACACATATTTTTTGGAGATTGTCCAGAATTAAAATCACACTGGGAAGGATTCATACAGAAATGTGCCATTTTAAATATTGATTTACCACTAGAACTATCGCATTTTATTATAAGTGCAATACCGGATGGAGCAATGGAAAAGACTTTTCAACTTTATCTTTGCTCAAACCTCTGCCACCTACTGTACATCAATGGTAAGACAGGTTCATTAGTGTATTTAATGGAAATAATTGCAGTGAAGCTCCATGTAAAGACAGATATGTTTATAAACCGATGTGCCCCAGTACGGGCTTACTTTGGATTGACTTAGTGGTTAATTTGTATGTGAGTTTGTGGTATTTTTGTTTATTTTAGGGTTTTTGAAGACTCCTCTATGTAGAGATACATGATGTCATGATTGCTGACTATGTATATTTCAAATGTGCATAACTATAAATAAAAGATTTGTTTAAAAAAACAACAAATGCCTCAAAGGGAAATGGCAATGAAAATCAACCAATAAACAAAAGAAAGCCTGCAGTCAGCAGGTAATTGTTAGGCATGCAAAACTCTTGCGCAAATAGCACTAAAACCTGATGCAGGTAACCAAGTGGAAACAAGAAAGAAATCTCAGAAGGGCCTGAAGATCAGGGTTTCTGGCGGAGTATCTGCTAAAGTGACGTCTGCACTAAGTCGAGGAAGGATCAGAGCGCCCTGAGTGTGCGGTTCCCCACCTCTCTTATGCCCTATGAAATGACTGCACCAAGCTGCTCTCAATCACTGTTCAGGAGTCAGTGCCCACAGCCTGTGCAACAGGTGATCTCAATAACCCTCCAATCAATGGAGTGGCAGTTTGACATTCAGCTCAATTGAATTTGGAGTTAAAAGTTAAATTACAAGAAGTACTAAAAAATGAGGGACTGATACAAAATAACCCGCTACATAAAGCATATTGATTTCAGTATATTTTGCACTCTGCACTAAGTACAAGCAGCTTAATACAATTTTTTAATTAAGGAAGGTCTAAAATCACCATGGAATAATGTACCACAAGAGTTCGACTTGAGCCCCGTTTCTTTAGCCTGTAATTGTTTAAATTTTTAATTATTTGTCAAAAAGCCATTCCGAATTAGCTATCAGCAGTTCCTGTTTGCATTGTACTCATGGATGTACAGACAACTGTTGCTGGATCACTTTGATACTGAAGAAAACTTAAAAATGTGATAATTCAAGTTCTGCAGTTAACAAGGAGCATCTTTCTTCTGTGATTTCTTCAGTGAATCAAAAAAACATGTGCATCATGTTTGTGTGTTCAGACGTGACTGAGTTATGACTCAGAGAGTTTTAACTGAAATTGCGCAATTCACCTCACGCAGTAACTGCGCCTCCTCTCAGCTGGAAAATCTCATTGTTCCTCTAAGGAACTGAAGTTACTGCAGCATTGTAGATCGACAGAAATACTGTTTAGTATGTTTAGGTAAGAATACTTTCTGTTCAGTAGGATGTATTTATACATAGACTGATGATCTCCGGCTACTTTTGCTTTGCTCTCCTATATTAAAGAATAAAGGAGAAGGAAACTCTTTGTCTTTATGTTGCTTTGGGTATGTAACTGTGTTCCTGCTAGCTGGTGGCTCTTTGTGTCGGTGAATGAACTTGTCAAAGGTATTGTGAGCAAAAATTGCGTGATAAGTCAATGCCAGAAGAGGCCCAGAAAGCAGGACAGCTGCACTCCAGCAGACTCCACAGGGAACATACGACGGGCTCTGCCGCTGTCACCTACACAGAGCAATATGACAGGAGTGGGCACTGAGTGTGTGTGTGTGTCCGCAGTATCAGAGGAACCCAATTTAACTGACTTTTCATAGACCAGAGGTCGTGAAAAAACCCCCACGTCACATTTCAAATTAACAAGAGACACACACACACACACACACACACACACACACACACCAGAGCCAAACAGGGACAGGAGGAAAAGTGGGACGTCCTCAAAACTCTCCAGATCGGGGAGCCAACCTAGTTCCTCTCAGAGACGGAGCCACTTGGCAGACACACACAAACACACACACACTCCCTCAAGCACTTTGTCTCTATTGATCACCTGCGACTGGATGATGGTATGGCTGCCATTGAACGGGGACTTGCGGTCTTTATCCCTCCGATGACGGCTGCTGCGTTTGCTGCGCTGAAGCTGCTGACGCAATTTGGCAATCTGGAGAGTTTCACAGACAGACAGACACTGTAATACAGACATATATGTAGATGAAAACTGCCGCACAGTGCTCAGAAACAGCTTTTATTTACAACACAAGAGGGCATTTTTTTGCAAATGGCTGTTTATTTGGGCTCCAAAATCAGGAAAGAGACTAACCTCCTTGAGCTGGTCGGTGCTCCCACAGGAGGCCGAGCGTTTGTGAGAGCCCCTCCTCCTCTCATCTGCCCAGGCCCTGGGGGTCTGATACACACACATACACACACATTGGTTAGAGCTAAATATCAAACATAGAAACACAAAACAACCAAAGTAGGAGACACATGATTGGAAAAAAAGTCACAAGAAAACCCGACTGGATGAAATAAGCCATAGATAACACAAATAATCCATAGTCACAGTCGATCTCTAATGTGTTTCTGTCATTAAACGTGCCATTGTTTGTGTTATTGGGTTTAAAGTGACAAAAACAAACTGTATGAACTGTGGATGAAGTCTGGTGGGAAAAGACAGGACTGATACATTTTTCATTTTTGTTAGTAGTGACATAGTGGATGCTGCTTTTCTAACTTCTGAACCTGAAAGTAGTGGGTCCCCAAGTAACTTAAGTAAGTAAGTAACCCAACATAAATACAGGAGGTCACAAGATTACTGCAAAAATATCCTGCTTAGTGAGTAAAGTTTGCCTGTAACTTCAGTTTTATGTTCGTCTTTTTCAGATTTTTGTTTTCTTACAGAGTACTAAATACTTTTCCCTCTTCAGGACTCTCCTTTAACTAAAATAATCTGCTCATAACTCATGTCCTCTCCACACTTAAGAGGGTCACAAGAAGACATTGCTTCATCTTAATGGGCCACAAGCCAAACACTCCAAGGAGGCTAAAACAAGCATTAGAATTTCTATGAATCAATACGGTGTCATTTACTTGGATTGTGTCTACAAACAAGTACAAGTGGCACTAAAGGACCCATAATACAGTTAAGAATACTAAAGTATAATATTATGGGTTTTATAAAACAGCAACAATGTGTGTGAGTGTGTGTGTGTGTGTTATCTTGTTAGCGGTGTAAAAACAGAAACAAACATCCTCAGGCAAATTTTGAAACATCATTTGACCACTCTGGTTGCCTGACCGACTTAAATATTTTACGGCTAGTGTTTGACCTGAGTCGGATTCAAAGTCAGTGTGTGACTGACAGTCAGAGGCAACACAGCAGGAGATGATGCAACTGTCTGCAATCTCTCGTAACCTCTTTGTATTGATTGCCTGCTTCGCATAGTCACACATACACCTTGCAAGCGTTTAGTATCGCTGGTCTGAAAAAAGAACAAACACACACACATGTAAAGACCACTGCAGCCTACGTGGCTTTGCTTCATCTGACGGACAGAATCTCAGCAGTGATTCATTCATTTGTACCATTTCTGGATCTTTCAGAGGCATTTGATACAGTGAATCGTGACATTTAGTATCTAACATAGACAGAGACGCAGCATTCGTGAGGTAAAAAAAAGTTGTTGCCATTCTCACAAACCACTATTACAATGTGGCATGCCTCAGGGCTCCTTTCTTGGGCCACTTTTATTACTGAATTTACCAAATTTGTCCAACATAGTTTGTCTCACAACGTTTTCAGATGATAAAAAATACACATTTTCGCTCATTGATTTAAACTCTGGTTTGTCCACTTACGCAGATTCCTTTCCTTTGGTTGCATTTACCAAATCCTACAGAGTATAATTAAAATGCAAACATATTTTATTTATTTATTCATTTATTTGTTTTTTGTTACGTCAGAACATATTTTCAGCAGTCTAAATTTGATATGTATTGTTTAGGTAAAGATCATTAATAAACACATTGTATTTTGCTTCTCTCTGCATATAAATTATTATTATTTGTATATAATTTGTGTGATTTCTAACCTGTGCATATAAACACAAACTCATGCACCACCCACCATCACACACACAGCCATAAACCCCCCACAGCACTCACCTGTGTCGCTTTGTCCCTCATGTAGGGAACGTGTTGGTGCTGGCTGTCGTCCTGAGGCCAGGGACCTGTCAGGTGAGAGCCAGCGAGCGCGCCCTGTGAGGGCCACAGCTGGACGCGATGGCGGGAGCCCGAGAGGAGAATGAGGAGCAGAGCGCTCGGAGGGAGAAGAGAGGGCCGCTGGAGGATGTGGAGGAGAGCCACAGAGAGATGTGGGAGGTTAAGGCCACTGATGCAGTCTGAGGAGGAAAAGGGAGAGAGAGAGAGAGAGAGAGTCTAGATGAGGGAGGTCTGCATGGAGATGTAAACAAATTATTTGTCAACACATGGAAAACACATCAACAAATCAACAGACACACAGCTGGCCTGCAGGATAAGCTCACGGCTGTCTTGCTCTGTCTGTCTAGGTTTGTGTGTGTGTGTGCATTAGTGTCTATGAGTGTGTGTGTTCCCAGATTGATGTTAATCCTTCCCGTGCTGGGCAGAGCGGATATACCCCCCTCCAAGTCTCACACAGCCCCCTGGTTAATGGCATTAAACAGCTTAAAGCAGAAGAGGGAGGGTGGGGGGGGGAGGAGTGAGGGCAGGTGCTGGCTTCTGCCCGACTGACCCTGATTCAGGGCTGCGCAGCATGTTTTGCATGAGTGCAATGACACCCACAGGCCCCTTGCAGGGTATCCGCCATCATCAGCAAGTTTAGATTTCCAATTTCAGATTCCGACTTTTGCAAACACAACAAAACTTTATCGGTATTCACTAGAGAGGGGAAATACCCCAAATTCTCAAGTTCAAGCTTCTATATTGTGATGATCTACTTCTATGTCAACAAACTGTTCCCTATTGCCGAGGAACCAACAACATTGTATTTCTATAATGAATTTCTAGAAAAGCAAATGAATTGTTGGTGACAAAGCAACGACATTTCAATAAAAACAGTTTTAAAAATAGTTTTTTGGCTCAATATTTGTGATTTTTGCAGCAGCCAATCTGGTTAATGATGAGTACTAAAACATAATGTAACAGTAACACAAGTAGAGTCATAATGTCAGCAAACTGCCTCAATAATGCAGCTACACCAATATCTAACTAATATTAATTAACATTAGCCATGTGAATACTGAGTGTATTAAACTAAGTGTGTGCTTTATTGTGTAAGAAAACCTTTTTTCAAATGTAACATAGTGTCACTTTAATTTAATTCCTACATTTTTGGATTTCTTAATGAGGAGGAAGAAGGACGGCATTAAAATGGGGGAAAAAATTTAATTTCAAATGATCCAAGCTAGAGAACAACAATGCAGTATTAATGAAGCCACACATGCACACACAAACAAAACCATCCGTTTTAATGGATGCAAAGCACCTTGCAGGATAAAGAAAGCGTTTATTTTTTAGAGCGGGTGCTCCCAGCGGGAACTGAAAGGCTGCCCGATCCTGATAACAACATACTGTACATGCAGCGTTCATATGTACGAGAACACAGCACCGACTGGCACTGCTGGTCCTGGAGCTAAATTTGGCAGGGGCCTTTACCAGCGCACAACGCTGTTGCTAGGGAACGAGACTGACTGATCTTCACACAGCAGTGCTTGTGTGTGTGTGTGTGTGTGTGTGTGTGTGTGTGTGTGTGTGTGTGAATGGGTTTGGGCATCAGCAGTCTATTAGCAAAATGCTCTCAGACTTTTTTATTTTGACTGCTGCTTTTCCCGTCACAGTCTGTGTACACAAACCTGCAACCCAATATCATGTACTGCAGGCTGGTAGTATTAGTATTAGTATTAGTGTTAGTAGTATTAGTATTAGTAACATTAGTGTTAGTAGCATTAGTATTAGTAGGATTAGTATTATTAGTAGTAGTATTGGTGGTAGTAGTATTAGTGTTACTAGTATTAGTAGTATTAGTGTTAGTAGTATTAGTAGTATTAGTATTAGTATTAGTAGTATTAGTATTAGTAGTATTAGTAGTATTAGTAGTATTAGTAGTATTAGTGTTAGTAGTATTAGTGTTAGTATTAGTGTTACTAGTATTAGTGTTAGTAGTATTAGTATTAGTAGTATTAGTATTAGTAGCAGTAGTTGCTCAGCCTGCTGTCATATTTCTGTCTCAGTGTCAATCGATTCTTAATATTGATCCTGAACCTTTCCAGATGTGTTACAGAGGCTATTTCTGAAGGAACTACACTGATTACCACTTTAAAGTAAGATAAGCTCATAACACTTTATTGATCAGCCAAGAACAAATGTGGGACAGCCAGCTCGAACAGAAAGGAATAATAAACAGGGGATGTAAATATAATATTATTATTATTATTATTATTATCTCCATTAATCAGAAAATAGTGGAAAAAGCCACAATCACAGCTTCACAAAGCCCAAATTTGATGCCTTCAAATTGCTTATTTTGTCCAAAAAACAGTCTAAAACCCAAAGATAATCAATACACTATGATGCTACTTACAATATATATATTAGTGGACTGAGAAAAAACAGATAATATTCACATTTGAGAAGTCAAAACCAGTTATTTTTGATCACTTTAGCTATAAAAAAACAAATAAATGAATGGTTTTAGGTCTAGTTTACCCAACAGCCTGTGCACTTTGACTATATACATCTAACCAATAACAAGGTTTCATAACCAAAAACTAGGATCATGCTTAACACTATACTTGAATTCATGAAAGACTGCACACACACTCAAATCTCCACGTTAGGCCCATCAACAATGTAGGTCAATTTTGTTTACTGGGAGACCACTCCCCACAAATATCATCAATATCAGCATCAAAACATCCATGCAGACCTAAATCAATCTCCATAAGAGCATCACACAGGGCTCATGATGTTGTGTGTGTGGGGGAGGGGGGGGACAAAAAAAAAAAAAAAAACACCCTCACCTGCAGAAATGTGATCTAGGTGCGCTGCATGCAAAGGGGCATGGAGGTCTTCAGCACCCCAGCCCCCCTGTTGATACTCGCCGCTGCTCGGAGATGCTAAAGAGGCGGCGGGAGCAGGCAGGGCAGAGGGACCCGAGTGCCGGCTACGAGTGAGGAAAGCCCTCTCGGACACAAACAAGCAGACATAGAAACCGTAGCGATACAGTAGGTGTCAAAATGGGCGTTGCTGTATTCGCACCCTGCCTCCTCTTCCTCGTCGTCGTCGTCGTGGATGGATGTTTTTCTATCTCTCTATCTCTCTCTCTCTCTCTCTCTCTCTCCGGGCTGATGCGGCACGACGGGTTGGAGCAGCTACACGAAAACGGTTTGTGGTCGGAGGAAAAACAAAACAAAAAAATGGAGTATAAAAGAGAGGAAGATGCGTTGCGCAGTGGCCGGTGTCGGAAAACGACGGGAATAAATAACAGGAAGGTCATAAAATAGAGACGGGATAGAAAGAAGAAGGCGGTGATGCTGGGCTAGCCTCGGTTGACACGACGGGAGAGGGACCAGTGTGAAGCTAGACGGAATACGCTACAACACTTCCGGTTGCTCTTTTCAAAGTAAAATATTTATTGGGAGAGTTGCGAACGTTTTAAAGCTGATCCATCAGGTTTCTTGTTCTCCACCTTCTTCAGCAGAATATCAACATCAGCATGGGGGTTAAAATCTAGTGGAAGGATGTCCAATATTTTAGGTTTGTGCTTGTATGTTGCATATTCTTAAATTAATGTGTTTAATCAAATTAGTGCACAACAATACTTGGGCCAGGTTGCACTCTAGCAGAGAGGTTAATGGACCCCTTTTTCTATCATTTAGTAAACTTGTGACCCCTTAACACGTGTCATATTTTATGGATATTTCAAAACTGTACAATTAATGAATAGTGAACTCACTGCAAGACGTTTGTGTAACAGGGGCGATTTTATGCACTTTTAAGCAGACTATTTCTAAGGCTGCACAATTAATCGAAATATTATCGAAATCGCAATTTAGTCAAGTGCAATATGCAAAGAGCTGTAATGTTTTGATAAAGGTCAAATGTGCGACAAAACAGCATTATAATAAAGGTTCATCTGATCTGACATTATCATGATTTTAATATTTCTTTTAATATAATCAATGTTAATATGATGTTTTTACCATATTGTGCAGCCCTAATTATTTCCTGTTTTTTACAATACCTTTTTATACAATTATCTGTTTGTATTATGTATCTTTTTAAATAATTTCTTTAAAAAAAAACATACATACATATTTAATAGGCTTCTTATTTGACAAATCCAGTGTTATCTTGACAGTTTACTTTACTTAAACATTACTTTACTTCTTGTCCACCTCTTGTGAACAAAATGCTGAGATGTAGCCCTGTTGTGTCTAAGTTTAACTTTTCTTACACCCCTTAAAATCAAGAAAAGGCCTTATGAACCCACTCATGAAGTTTTGGGGACCCCTAGTGGGCGTCCCGACCGCCAGGTTGGGAATCACTGCTGTATATTTATGTTAGTACATATAATATGACTATTGAAGGTTGATCTGGCTATGATGATAATGCCTAAAGGTAGTAACTAATAAGTTAGTAGTTCTGTTAAAACTATGTCTGATTAACAGTATTTTTCACAGCATACACTCGTTGCCATAAAAATCTAACTTCCTACACTGGAATAAAAAAAAAAAAAAAAATCACACTAAGTTTCACACTAAAACGCGACTTTTATTTTGAATGGCGGTCTGTCGGTTTCCGGTTTTCCTCTCGCCGAGTCGACGCGGCCGAACGCGAGCTGTGACGTAGCGTACCAACGCTGCGCTGCTCGTGCTGATGCTGCAGTTGCTAGGGCGCGTGGAGCAGACGGCGGAGAGGAGGAGGAGAGGAGGAAGAGAGGTAAACAAGGAGGAGAGAGGAGGAGAGGTCTCCCTCGTGTGTCGACATTAGAAACTTGCGGTGTCTTAAGGAGACCAAGGAGAGCTTGTTTTATGTGACAGGGTTACCCAACTCTGTATTTAATCTGTTTACAGACATATTTAAAATCCCTGTAGAGGGGGGGTCCTCATACAGATGTGGTCCTCTGCTGCTGCCCCTGTCTGATGTATGCAATATGGCACCCAAAATGGTACCCAAAAAAAAAAAAAAGGTTTAGTCCTTGCCCTTCCTTCATACAAATACAATCTGAGCTCCTACTCTTAAAGACCTAATAAAAACTTAATAAAAATAAAAATAGGAAACACACAATTATTAGTTTTTAAAGGAATAGTTCCACATTTTTGGGAAAACATTTGACACTAGAGGTCCCAAAAGCCTTCAAAATCACATATTGTTGTTTTTACAGTTTGATTTTTGTACAGATTTAGCAAACTAGTCCAAAAGAGGAAGATTTTTTTTACCTTCAGGGAGCCAGGCTCAGTGTCGGCCCCCCCTTAGTTTCCAGTCTTTATGCTGGGCTGACCGGCTGCAAGCTGTAGTTTCATATTAGCATTCAGATATAAGATACTATTCCATTAAAATATAGTTTAAAACAAGTTTTTAAACTCTAAACTCTCTTTAACTACAGATATCTCCTCCACTGCAATACTTTCAGAATAAGAGCGGACATGCTGAAATAAGAGATGTCCTTTAACAGATATAAGCAACAATTATTTCATACATTTATTGAGAACTTTTTCTTTCATATTGACTTGAAAATGTTTACAGAAACTGTACCGAGCAGACGCATAGCAATGGAATCAAAGGCCATGTCCATTGAATGCAAAAACAGAATTCCATAAAAATGATGCAAATATTAATGCAATACACATACATATGTTTTTTTCATACAAATTACAGATTACAAAAACATAAATGAGATCTTTTCATATGCCCTGAAGCAGCGCTGAAAATACAGAATGAGTACAATGACATTTCAGCACGCCTGTACAGCGCTAGGCCCCAACAATTCTAATGCTTGCTGACATATAGAAACACAACATGTGCACACACACACTCTCTCTCTCTCTCTCTCTCACACACACACACTCTCTCTCTCTCACACATACACTGAATCAGTCATTTGAACATCAAGGGATGAGACAACAAGAAGCAGAAATAATATCCAGCGTGCTTCAGAGGGGGGTTTGGTTTTTTGAGGGGTTTTTTTTTTTTTAGACTAGTTTCGGATTCCCAACAGAGTTCGATCTTTCTAGTGTTTCTAGTCTTTCAGTCATATACAGACAGCTAAAACACACAGTCCACAGTGAGGTCAGGTGATAGTGGTACAGTGATTGCGTCGGGCCACTGTAACAGATCCCTCCGTAGATTTGATTCTGGTGATTGTAGTGTTAAAAGACCCCAAAGTTTGAGTCATTCCTGGTGCAATTGTTCAAGAAGTTCCACGAAAACTCACTTTTCCAGTCAGCTGCGATTGATTGTTTAGTGTTTTTTGTGCCCCCTAAAAATAGTCCAGAGAAGAAGGAAAGAGAGGATTGTCATCCATTTTCTCCTCTTGAGTCAGGGGGGGTGATAGCGTATGTAGATTGTTTACAAAAAACGATTGTGACTATTCATAAGTGCAACAGAGATTAACATATCAAAATAATGACCAAAATAATGGAAGCGATAAAAACATCGAAAGCATCTAAAAGCTACATCCTATTGCACAATTAAAAATTATGATACAAAAAAAAATGGATACATATTTAAAAAAGGACAAGAATTGGTATTGCATACAAATCAAGGAAATAAAAAGATAACAGTTAAAGTAGTTTGTTCCGTCTTTTAAGACCGTCAATTCTTTTACAGAGCCCACCTCCAGGACATTGCTTGATACAGCAAAGTACGAGAAAAGAACGCTCAAAGTGTTGATTGTTTTTCATCGCCTTTTTAAGTTTAGAGACCACTTTCTTGTCGTGGTCGCAACAGACAGGACTTCTAAACACTGATTTTAATCGGTTCAAAGTGCACATAGAAAAGAAGAAAAAAAAAAAAAAGAAATCGATTGCTACACGTTTGTAAAGGATGAAACAAAAACCGACAAAAAGGGGAGATTAATAAGATACGGAAACAAGCGGGTGAGAATGCTGCATAGCTGGATTCCATTTAAAGCAATGCCATCATCAGAAAGACACACAGGAGCGAGACAGACCTAATTACTGTACACGATCAGACTCGACTGTTTGTTCACAAGACACTCCATCATAGCTTCCTCTTGCTGATTCAGAGCAGAGAGCTCAGCAGACAGCAAACCAAAACGTTCTCTGCTTATTTTTTACATTTTTTTTTCTTCAGTCTTGTCAGAGGGTCCGAGTTCACACATGCGTGTCGCTGGGCTCGCTGGCCAAGCTCCCCCCCCGCAGGTAGATCGCCGAAGTGGACTTGGGCCGGTTCTGACTGTGACCTTGGCCGCGGGAGGAGCCGTTGTTGTTGACCTCCGGCCCCCGGGTGTCTGTGGAGATGACCCATGTGGTGGGTCGCCACTTCTTCAGGGAGTAGGGGGTTTTGACGCGCTTCTTGATCTTCTCTCCTGTCCCCCCCAAGGCTCCATCTGGCTGTACCAAGCCCTCCCCTGGAAGACAGGAACAAACACTGATCAGTGTACATGAAGCCTTCTGTGGGTGGCCTTTAACCCTATTACACTTATATAAAGTTAGAAGACTCACGAGAGACATCACGGATGAGATATCCTGACTTTTACTCCCTTAGTCATGCTCAACAAACACTGGATCCTACATTTCCCATAATGCAACCAATGTAATCTTATTAGTCTCTTCCTGCCTGAAAAATACCCATTTGTTTCTAACTCAATTTGTTTCTTCAAGTTTGTGACTCAGACTTTCTGTTACAAGTTTGTAGTCTCCAGATAACCCCGGTGATGTCACTATGACATCATCAGGCGGGTAAAAGTGGTGTACTGTCCATTTAAGGCAACATAGGTCGTTTAAAGTTTATCTATTAAAAAAATTAATCATAATGTGTTTCAGGAAGAGAGTGCTTGAATGATTAGTCAGTAAATAATGGACTGAATCGTTTTAAGTGATCAAATAAAAATGTTTCTCCTCTTTGATAAAACTACAGTGACCGGTTGTTTTAGGAAATTACTGAGCCTTTCTAAAAATTAAACTAAAATCTCTTCTAAATACTCTTAAATGGCTTTTTCTTAACCGATGGTATTTGCTGTTACTATTAAATTATTTGATCTTATTTATATCTTAAGTTGTGGATTTTATTACATGTTTTTACTGTAAAGCACATTGTAACTGTTCTCTTATAATTTTCAAAGGGGTTATATAAATACAAGTTATTATTATTAGTATTATGTTAAAATATTAAATGAAAACAATTGCTGTACAAATATTCTCTAATTTCATCCATTTTAGTTGACGAAAGACTGACGGCTGATCTCAGGCGACCTGGTGGGCCTACTTTTGTTCCTCCCACACAAAAAAACTGATCAGGAAACAATAAGGGAATAGATAATGGCATTAGTATCAATAAAATCATATTCCTTCCCATCCTTGATGTGGAGTTGTGGACATGAAAGGTGTATTAAATCACCTAGTGAGGCCAGGTCCTGTGTAGTGAAGGACAGGTCCAGGGAGTTGGGTCTCTCAGGCCTGCGGGCTCTGGGCTGCCTGAGCAGGGCCTCCCCTCTCATGGTGACTGGAGCTTGCCCGTGGTGGTCAGCGGCGCCGGATCCCGACCCCGAGCTTTCTCCCGGGGGCCCCGTGGTTTCCCTGCTTCCTCCTTCCCCGCTCCCCTCCTCCTCTCCTCCATCACTCTCTCCTCCGCTCTCCCCGTCCCCCTTGCCGTGGCCGTTGTTGCTGTTGTTGTTGTTGGTGTTGGGTCGGGCCGAGCGGAGAGCGGCGACGCTCGAGGACGCGTCTCTCGGGTCGGGCTGCTCTCGCTCGCGGCTCAGAAGGGGCTCGTGTTCGTCTGGGCTGGCTGTGATGACGCCGAGGCTGAGACGGCCGTCGTCCGACCTCAGCACTCCGGACCCGTTCTGAGTTATGCTGGATCCTCCGAATCCTGTCGCTCCACCCGTAGCCATGGACGAGATTGCAGTGCTGGCGTGACCGTTAACTGCACCGTTAACGCTGCCGTTGACATGCGTGTCTCGTAGGACAGGTGTGTTGTTCGTGCCTGTGCCCCGATGAGCCTCTACGGCTGTGTTCGTGCCCGTTACTGCACCAATGTTCATCTTTGTTCCCTCCACCTGCCGCAGGTTGGACTTCCCTGAGCGACCAAACTTGAACCTGAGCGAAGACGATGAAGACTCCTTCTTGGTGGGTTTGGTGCGCAGGGGCAGACTGGACGGCCTCTTGGGCAGGTTCTGCTGCTTGGGCAGGGGGAATATGGTGGTGGGCATGGGCCCGGCGGCGTCTGACGTGCCCGATGCCTCAGTGGCCATCTTGATGAGGGGGTAAAGGAGGCTGGAGCTGCCGGGGCTCAGTGGATCGGGTGAGCAGAACTGCTTCTGTGAGTGCTCCATCAGGTTCTCGTCCGAGCTCTCCTTCAGGTTCTTGTCCACCTCTTTGGGGTCAAGCTTGGTGGTTTCCAGGTCTTCCTGGGTCAGGTGGAGGCAGACGGGGACTGTGGCGACCACTACAGGTCCCTCAGACTCAGAGATAATAGTGGTGGTTGTAGTGGAGGCTGAGGGGCTGCCTCTCAGGCCCATGCTGGTGCTGCTGCCCTCTGGGCTGGGCAGGCGGGCGTTGGCTTGCTGCTGCCGCTCCTGGTTGATTGAATTCCTGTTTCTCTCTCCGGTCCCAGCTCCGGCTCGACCGCTCACAGAGCTAGTGGTGTCCTGCTGCGTGTTCTTGGGCACACCCTCGTGCTCTTCGATGTAGGTGGAGGGGTGGTCTGTGTACGGGCCAGACTTCGGTGTCATGCGATTTCTGGCAGAAAACATTGCGAGAGAGCAGAAAATGTTAAGGCGAGCATTTAAAACTAGTGCCACAATGGAAGAAGCGGCTCTGTGTGTATGCTTACCTCTCATTGTGCAGGGTGGTGGACATGGGGTTGAGTGTAGGGCTGACAGACTTGGAGCGGTCCCATATGAGGAGCAGCTCTGCCAGTCGTTCCTCTGCACATTGTGCCGTGAGGCGGGCCTCTGCATCCTGGTCCCAACAGTCCTCCATTGTCTCTTTCAAAGAGCGAACCGCCTGAAGGAGACACAGTTTTAATATTTCACAAGAACAGAGTTATGGGTTGCTGTTGACAATTGTTAATTGTTTCATACTGGCTGCAAAGAGATCACTTCCTAGGGACAAAACTCATAGCCCTCACTCTGTGTGACGAGTACAAGACTTCAGCAGTGTGTTAGTCGAATTAAGTCTGCTGAGTTATGGCCAATTTCCTCTTTGTGTTGCTGTCTCTCCGCTGCAGCTCAGTAAGTAAACACAGCTCAAGGAAACCCAAACATGGTATTTCACTAAAATGACTGTAACTTTTGAGGATATCCACTTGCAACGTATGAGCTTCAGCTGAACTCTGGAAGCCATTTTTACTCAAAACAACATCTGTGGAATTTGTCTTTGCAGCCAGTAAAGACCGGAGGAACGATTACAGCAACCAAAAACTGTTTCAATGCACATACAGAAATGTAAGTATTGTTTTAACCAATGCTTTAAGCTCAACAGAAACAGTGACTTCATTCATAATCAGCTTAAAACAAAGAAAAGAAAAGAATGTGTTTGAATTTCCTGTCGTATTACCATTGCTATTTCCCAGCTTTACTGACTGGGATTCTGGATGGAATTTGGTTGCATATAAGAAAGATAGATATTTTACTAGAATATCAATGTGTAATGATTTTTATAAACTTGATTTTGTTAATTTCCTATGCCTTTCAAGGCCAAAAAAGGATCAGCATATGGTTTATTTTTCAGACACGGGGCATCATAATGGCCAACTGGTTGAGACACATGCCACATATTCACTGCCCACAATTTGATTCTGGCCAGTGGCCTTCATTGCACGTTATTCCCCTTTTGTGCTCCTAAAGATACCGTCTCTACTGTCACTATCTAATAAGAGCAAAATGCCCCAAAAAAGAATTTAAAAAAAAAGAGATGATTTTCAGATAATTGAAAATGACTTACTAAAGTTGTAGTGACATGTTTCTAATGTGCTGACAGTGTTTATCTCTGGTTATTGTAGTTATAATTTGAATAATCTGCTCTGCTCTCTCTCTCTCTCTCTCTCTCTCTCTCTCTCTCTCACACACACACACAAACGTACCAAACTGTTCTCTTTCCAGGCCTCGGGGAATTTGGGCCGTTGCTTCTCCCTGGACACCAGGACCTGCATGTCCTCAAACGTCGGGTGGTTCCCTGCCTCCGCTTGGAAGGCCATCTGGTACTCTGGCACAGATTCTCCTAGAGGTAGGACAGGAAGAGGAAGGATGTGTCTGAGATATATTTCATGTAGCAGAAATATTCATTACATTTATGAATGTGCTTTCTTGCTTCCCACTACGAAATTAAATGTGTGTTTAATGGCTTCCTGCTGTATACAGCGTAGGAGGGACTCTTGTGTTGTCTGTGATAATAAATGGTAGTAAAAATTAAAACAATACTACAAGCATTTGTGAATTTGGAGGGATGCAGCCCATCTTATTTACACAACCCAAAACAGATTCACAGCCCTTCTGTCTCTGTGTCTCACCAGGGAAAAGGTCGGTACATCTCATGAAGGTCTCCCAGTAGATCAGGCCCAGGGCGTACATATCCACCTGCTTCAGCGCCGACTCACAGTCCCTCAGGTTCACCGCCCCCTCCAGAACCTCTGGAGCCATGTAGCGGATAGTCCCCACCTGGTAGATGGAGCAGGAATAAATAGAGGCGCGAGGGATTTAGGGGTGGGTGAGGGATGAGAAAAGGTATGTGATGAAAGATGAGGTGAGACAGGAGGAAAGCGAAGAAGAAGAAATAAAACAAGGTGAAAAAACATAAAATAGCATTTCCAGAGCAAGCATCATTCTCCTGTTATCTGTCTTTTTCAGTGCAGTGTTTGTTGTTAACAGACAGCAAGATGTCTTTTGGCCAAAACCACACTGGCTGTGCTGTTATCAGCTTCAAATTTTGGAGACAATCCTCTGCTCCATTAAAGTCATCTCACTTTAGTCCAATCCTCATGTTTGCATTATGAGCAGCATGCCCACAAGGCAAAAAATTCCAAGTTTGTTGATTTATACTAAAGCCAGCAAGTAATGCCAGCTACAGTTACACAGCTTTTACATCCAGAAATATTAATTGTATCTTATTGTCTCCCAAATCATGTGTCAGGACCAATTTTAGACTAGTGATACCTGAAACGTCCGCATTCACATAGTCATTGTAGCTCAGATATCAGTCCTGCTTCCTCATAAACACTCACCTCACTTATAGCAGCATTTTCCTCCTCTCCGTGACGCGCCGGCCTGTTTCCTGTCAGCTTCATGGACAGGCCGAAATCAATGATGACACACGTGCCATCAGCCTTGACGAGAACATTTCGGCTGTTCAGGTCCCTGTGGGAAACGGCGGGCTTGTACAAGTCTGAATGGAAGGAAAAAGGAGATGGGGGGGTAGGATAGCAAAGAGAGGATCAGGAGAAGACACAAGACAAAAGAATTGGGCTAATTTACTTTTCATTAAAAATGTATGCCCGTACAGCACTCCCAAAATTCTACAATGTGCTCAGGCAGTTTTTGTGTTATTTGCAAATGAATGATAACATCCAGAAAATCCCTTCATATAGCTTTCCATTCCCCTCATTACTCATTGTTCACCAAAGCAAGCTGCACTGTCAACAGACAGCTAAACCCTCTAATCTAATCTACAACAATGGGATTATGACCATATCAGAGTGGCCTTCGCCTGCAGTGTCTTACTGTCCAGCAGAGGGCGCAGTGAGGCACAGGGCGGCTGGAAGTTGTGGCAGCCACCACAGTTATCTGCTGCCTGCTACTGATGTGCAGGAGGAGTGGGGGAGGATGATGACTATCAAAGCCTGAGAGATTCTGCTGTTAGCAGCTACGCACAGAGCTGGCAAACACCAGGCCTGTCCTTCTCTTCTGTCACTTCTCTGCTCTGCCGATCACATTAGATTTGCATGGGCGGGAGAACTAAGGGAGATAGACGCCCCCCGCTGTGTCACATGCTTGCACGAAAAGAATAGTTTCTATTCCCTTAGCGGTCTTTACTTCACACACTACTGCAAGCACACTTTCTTCTTCACTTCCAAGAATGTTTGATGTGTATCTGTACTGATGAGGAGAAAACTGCTGAGGCTCAGTTGTCACTTCTGCCTGCTAAGACTCATTTTATTGAGCCAAAGGCATAGTCACATGACGTCTGAATCCCTATCTTGTCTCCGCCGTCCTTCCCCCTACTTTGTCCCTCTCTCCACTTTTTCACAGGCTAGCTTGAGGCCAGTCTATAAATACCCTCGGCTGGGCATGCATGCAGTGTGTACGTGTGTGTTAGTCAAAATGTAGGGATGCAAAGCGCTCCAAGCCAAACAGACCCACGTGGAGCTGCAGCGTGCAGTTCGTAAGCAGGCTCAAGTGCTCGGCGGTAAGACGGGATAGAGGGAGAAATACACACACACACTATCTAAAGCCTTTCTAAATAATCTAAACAAACTGGGATACACAAACAATAAGCTTTCCCATTTTCCACCACAATTCTTTGTATGTGTTTGTGTTTCAGTAACAGATGGAAGCAGCAGCCTTGAAACTTGAGCCTCAGTAAACTGTGAGCAGTTATGTAATTAACTGTGTGTGTGTGTGTGTGTGTGTGTGTGTGTGTGTGTGTGTGTGTGTGTGTGTGTGTGTGTGTGTGTGTGTGTGTGTGTGTGTGTGTGTGTGTGGCGCGTGTGTGTGTTCTGCACCCTCCAGCTCACCTCCTTTGAAGAGCTCGGTGTGCAGGTACGCCAGGCCGCGAGTGACGGAGTGAGCGAGACGGCAGCTGCTGACCCAATCGTTGGTCTGGACGCTCAGGTAGCGACTCAGAGAGCCCTGAGGAGGAACCATGAAGGAAGGGGAAAGGGAAGGAAAGAGAGGGCAGGGAGTGAGGGGTGAAGGAGGGATGAAAACACATGGGGGAAGAATTTAAAAAGAAGATTTAAACAGGTGGTGGAGGGAATGCAGATAAAAATCTATCACCAGCACCACTTTCAAGATCTAACAGATACAAACAGACACAGGGAAGTGGGAAAAATTAACTAACACAAGTCACTTCAAGTCACAGCAACTGATGTGTGCAGGGACGGATGGGCCCTAGGGCACCCAATTTTGTGCCATTTGAAAGATGGATGTTTTCATAAAATGTATGAATGAAATACGTATTAGCTCAGAAGGGTGCCAGTAGAGGGCACACTCAGCCAGCAGGCAGCAACAGGTCTCATCAGTCAAACTTAAGAGGCGAGAGCTGACGGTGATTAAGCTAGCCAAGTTGTGTGAAGACAAAACAGTCCGGTAACCCCTACCCATGGGCAAAACGGAGCTCTTAGTTTGAAAGGCCCACGCCACGGAGAAAATGAGGAGCATTCTCAAAAGCCGGGACCAGGTCTTAGAGGTTGTTAGACGATGCCTCTCCTCGGCCCGGCTTCACAGAGCGCTGAGCCCGGCTCACCTGCTTCACGAGACCCCGGTGCCTCTGAGCCGTATACAGCCAGGTGATCGATGAGCCCGCCTGTCAGCCTGAAGTAATTCCTGCCACAACCAGTGATTGATAAGGCAACACATCTATGGTTCTCTTTTTTTGCAATCAAAGCCTTTACCAGCAGTAGGTGAAAAGCTATTGGCTGGCTGTCATTTGTTTAATAATCGACTGTGCATGAGTTACTGCGGCTGCCTAGGGCTTAGCATCTGTAGTTCAGGCCAGTCCTGTTGTGGTGTTTCTGTTTATGAAGCTTTGTTTAGAACTAACATTGCCTGCTATACTGTGTTGTTATTCATTTCTATTTATTCTGTTTTCTTACTGTAAACGTTTGTGAGAATTTAAAATCAACTCAGGCTCAGTGTAACTGGTATACATTAGGTGCATACAATAAAACCTGTTGGAATATTTTATATATGATTTAATTGCACATAACTGACTGCTTGCCCTTTCCAGGCTTATTTCAGACTTTACTAGAGTATTGATTTAGCATTGCACTCCTATAACAATGTCAGACTCATGATGGACATGGTTGGGTTCACCGATTCAGGTGCTAGTAGTGGCTAATGGAGCTGCGAGCCTCAAGCAGCGATGAGGACCGAGCTATAGAGCTCACTTCTTTCTAACTCCACACCCACAGATATTTTATATTCACTTGCAATGGAACCAAGCTGATTTTTACTTTAAAAGTTTAAACTCCATGGCATCTTCACCATCAATAAAACCGCTAAAAGGTCAAGTCGGACAATTTGTAAATAGATGATCTTCCCATTTATAACTTGGAGCTTTGAAAAGGGCTGAACTTGTGCTTTGACCTCCGCGTGAAGGAGACAGAGCTTCACAATAAATCTGTCGCAGTATTTCATTTTTTAGTACTTCCTATAATTTAACTTTTAACTTCTCTTTTTCCAAATTCAATTCAGGTGAATGTCAAACTGCCACTCCATTGATTGGAGGGTTATTCAGACAACATGTTGCACAGGCTGTGGGCACTGACTCCTGAACAGTGATTGAGAGCAGCTTGGTGCAGTCAGGGTGTGACGACGCCCTTTCATAGGGCATAGGAGAGGTGGGGAAACGCACACTCAGGGTGCTCTGATCCTTCCTCGACTTAGTGCAGACGTCACATTAGCAGATACTCAGCCAGAAACCCTGATCTTCAGGCCCTTCTGAGATTTCTGTACTGTGAGTTCTGAAACTGAAACCTAGTTTGAAAGAATATGAAAGAACCCCTTTCCACTAGGTTACCTGCATCAGATTTTAGTGCCATTTGGGCAGGAGTTCTGCTTGCCTAACAATTACCTGCTGCCTGCAGGCTTTCTTTTGTTTACCCATTTCCTTTTTGAGGCATTTATTTATTATTAAAAGGGCTTTTGTTTTCATTGTGAAAGTAGCTGCGAGATTTGTTTGTCCAAGTAGATATTTTTTTGTATTATCCAGTTGGTAACTGGTTCTCCCCATCAGCTGAGACCTGTAGAATGGGGACCACCACAAAACTGACCTACAAAATCCTTTATCACTATCCAATAAAGGCCTTGCAGTTTCCTTGAGTTATAGGGTTTCTGTAGGAGGAAAGCAATGTGCAATTCTGGTTTAAGAATTTAGTGTAAGGATGTTGATGGGGGTGTATCAACTACTCAATGAAAATGTTTACCAGAAATTATATTGGATATTATTAATTTCCTTCCTCAATTATCTCCCATCAGCCTTGATAATCCATTATAGGCCTGGCCCTGACGCACATACACACAAAACCCAACACACATGCACATACACTTAATCTTTTCTCTCAAAATCAATCACAAGGCAATTCGCGCATCCGCTACTAAAGAAAATTACATTAGATCTGTTCGTTTTAAATAAATTATATTATCATTTACTTGAATGCATTATGTGTCCTCGTCTCCTGTCCTGGCTTGCACCACGTTTCCATGACAACGTGTATTACAATGCACAATAGGCTTCTTTTATAGGCTGGCTGGGGGTCAGCTGACATTGTAATTATGAAGCTGAAGGCTTGGACAGCAAACAATTTTAAAGGTACATCTACATTAATATTGGAGAGTTCCTAGAGGCAGCCTTCAGCAGCCGGTGTCAAAATGTTCTTTTGCTACACCACCTGCATGTTTATTCGTCTGCGGGGAAAGCTGAGATGGGTGAAAAGATTATACTTTCAATATACTTTCTACCCTGTCCATCACTCAGAATCCACAGTGAAGCTCGAAGAAGGGAAACAAATCCCCTGCAGGTGGGTCCAAAGGCCTTATCCTCTACAGCCCCTGCCAACCCTATGAAGCTATGAATAATTCACAAAAACGTTTTAGTGCTGAAAAGACTCAACAATTTCTAGATTTGTCATCTTAAAGTAACACAGTCACGCTTCTGCCGTCGCTGCTGTTGCTCACTTTGGACAAAGGATCGTTACTATACTGTTCAGATATAATCCTTCAGATTTTCATTGAATTAAAACCTATTTATAGTCAGCAGTTTGTCATTAATAGCCATTCATAGGAAATACATACTATAATAACCTCTCTACAAGGTAGAGGCCTGAACTCGACCTGGACTTTAACACAAATGACTAGTGACTTTAACTGGACTCGATATTTATACTTGATACTTTCCCCCAAGTCCAAAGATTAAAAAGCATGTTGTTTAAAAAGTGTGCCATGGATCAATTAATTTCCCTTCATTTCCTAAAATAACTGAAGTCAACACTATTTATTCCCAGGAAGTTGATAATTTATTCCCCAGATCCAACTTGTTTGAACCAATCAGAGACCATCCGATCAAGTTGCAGGAGAGAACCATGAAGCTGTAAAAAATTCTAACAAAGATTAGAATTTTTTGTTTTGTTGTCAAAATGGCATTACAGGGTGAAGAGTGAATAGACCTGTACAACAATAGTAGTTCTGATTGTTAGTGGCAGGGTCCACTATTCCCGCGCACGATTCAAATTGCCTTCAACGTAGAAGGGATTCACAGGAAATCACACAGCATGTAATAGCATTACTGTTTCTAATTTGATCACACTGATATCAGATTCACTGTATACTGTTCACTCTCCTACAGCTGTATCAGAGAAGGATTAAATTACTGCCAATACTAACCCAAGATTTCCTACTGCTGTTGTGTCACATTAAAAAGCACTCAACTGTCTTTAATTGTGAAGCAATCGCAGGAAACGCTGTGTATTATTCACTGAGGGTTAGACATAGTCAACGTGGTCTCTTTTTGTCATGTCCGTTTTTAAATACTGCTGCGAGGAGTGGAACAAGAATGAGCAGCTGCAGTGGAGCTGTTAGATGAAGGGCTCCACCTCCTCTTCCTCAGCAAGGTAACAAACTGACTGACTTTATCTAAACAGCATGAGTTTGTTTGGCTGTGCTGTAAACAGATGCACCATTTGCTGTTGAAAAAGTGTTTGCTACCCCAAGAATTCTGGGAACTGTAGTATTAAACCACACTTGTTACTACAGGAACCACATCAACCAGGACTGAAATCTTAAGGATTACATCTTTTAAACTGCAGTATTTCAAAAACAAAGGGGAGCTGAGATCCCAATTCATTTCGCCAAATGTCAGCCTCTACACATGTTCTGCATACTAAACTTCCTGCCCACCCCCCCCCCCCTCCACTACTCACATGTGGGTAGTAGTCCATGACGAGCAGGTATTCGGTGCGTCCCTCTGGGCCTGTCCGCTCGTCTGCAGCCACAAACCGGGCGATGTTGTCATGCTCCAGCAGCGGTAGCCGGTAGATGGAGCATTCATTTAGGAAGTTCTGCCGGTTGGCTGCAGTGAACACTTTCACAGCCACGGGTCGCTCGTCCAGAGAGCCACAGTAGACGGTGCCGTATCTGCCACGCCCAATCAGCTGAAAGTGATGGTGGTGGGAAAAGCAAAAAACTATTTATTTTTTGTAACTTGACCTTTTTAGCCCTTGCTTGTCTGATAAGAAATCATGTGAATAAAATGTTGATTTTGTTTGTGCTGCTACAGAAAGAAATCCAGAAAGATTCTTTGATAAATACAAAGAGGCAAAAACGAGAGAAACACTGAGAGAGGTACAAACACAAATAAGACATTCAGCCAGGCAGAGGAGAGAGAGGAAATAAACTATATTACAGGCAAACAGCAGGGTTAAACAGTTAAAATGGTCCAAAGTCGGTCCCAAATCATTCAATTAGTTTCCTGAATTAGCCGGAGCACAGCATGCCATTAAGGCCCACCATTCTGCTTTAAAAGTCATCTGCACAGGAGGAAGAAATTAACGAGGAGTGCATTTATTTCTGTTTGGTTTCCACCTCCTTGTCTGCCTTTAAAAACATTTATCTCTGGCTATGAAATAAAAAGCCAGAGGTAAATGTTCACAGTGAAAGCAGTGAACTCTGTTTTGTCTGTGGGAGAGGCTCCCTGGCTCACCCCGACCCTCCCCCCCTCTTCTGCAATGACTCTGATGTGAAAGAACATGTGCCTGTATTTGATAAAGCACAAGGACAGAACTCTGAATTCTAACATTTCACACAGAAGACATCGTACTACTCTGCATTTTTAGTCTATTTACTAGAAACCATCATCATAGAGTAAATATTAACTTAAAAGCATACCACAGAGGTTCTGATTTTTATCAGTTTCTTTCTGCCTACCGCTCCGTATGATGACTTGCAGAGACTTGAAACCTACTTGACAAAAACATCTCTTGGTACTGGTTTTGTTAGTAATTTTATGATTGTGCGGTAAAGCAGCTGATAGCATGCATTTGATAAAATTGCAGGTCAGATGACACGTTTACAGTGAAATTCTGTTTTGCCTCATAATCGGGTCCATTCTGACTACGGGTCACGCTAACATTTCACTCACTACCTCAGTTGTAGAGATTCAGGAAACACGACTCTGGCAAGACAATATCAGGGAAAGCGGCGCAAGCCTGTGAAAGCTTCCAACGTTACATAAATCATTTCAAACCCTCGTCTCAGAGTCTGACCCAGAGTAAACCCTCTGCTACTTTCAGCCTTCTGCCAGCTAACCAAGCTAGCAGCCTATTCCTTTGCACTTGCCGGTTTGTTTACCTGTGCGAGGCTGCCGATTTAAGGCACCTGTAGACTGCGAAACAACAACAATCATCATTTCGCTGCATGTCACTCTGCGTGGGATGGGTCTCATAAGATCTTGGTCGTAATATGTCGGGCTATACTATCAGATTATGTAATAAATGTGTGTGATGAATCATAGTTTTGGTCTATGTCTGTGCGTGGGTATTTGAACAAGTTTACCAATTAAGTTTTATAAGGCTACTGCTGCTTGAATATACGCCGTTGCACAAAAATTGGAACAAACATTCCAGTTTCCAGAGTCTCGAGTGCAAAGTTATTACAACTCATTGTCAGAATGGGCACAATTACCAAAATAAGACAGAGAACCACAGAATTTTTTCTTTTATCTTTTATCTGATAAATCAGATTGTGAGCGGCACAAAAGCTTGCTTTGTATTGCTTTGGAAGTGTCTTTCAATTGGAGCAATCATTGTATTGCAACCCTGTACATGACAGTTAGAATATAAATTAAATGGAAAGATGGCAAAGTTTTTAGAAAAGTTACATTTTAAAAGTTACAGCTGCCATTGTGCTGGCTTTATTTGAATCAGCAGCAGCATTCATTTCTCCTGCTCGCCTTTTTAATCCCTTCACGCTGCTTATGTCATTGTGGCTGAATACCGTCCAGATTCCATTGACTTCCTATCAAAATATGAGCTTTCCCACTTCCATATCAGGTTTTCAGGATCCTGTGTCAGTGTAAGCAAAATCCTATTTTTGCTCTGCCCGAACTGTCATTTAATGCGTCCTGCCGTGATCGGATGATAAAGGTCACATTGAAACAACAAATGTAACCGTAAACCTTGATGTATTTTGGGTGTATTTCTGTCTCTATGCCTTTGGTTTCTCCTTTCCCTCCCTCCTTCACACACATATATACACTCCCTTGTGTGTAGAGATGCTGAATCCAGTGAGAACGCTACATGTCTGAACCAATGATACACGCGTTCGTCTTCTAAAAACAGAGGAGTAGAAATCTGCAGGATTTGGGGTATAAAAGATGTAGCGAGCCATGCTGTTGAAGGGGATTTACTTTTCTCACCACCACTATCGTTAATAACCAAAACTAAATGCGAGTGTGGAACTGTAGCAGTAATATAACTAAATCACGATTAGTCAAATTTATGTAAAACAACTTACAATCACTTCTCTATTGCCCCTTATTGGCTCATTTGGTAAGTGAGGGTAATATTACGCAGTGTTGTGCTGGCACTCTACAGCGTTACACTAAATACTTTGGCTCTTTCCTGGGCCAGAAAACAAATTGATTCGATTTATGAACAGATGACTGTTTAGCACAAAACTAAAAATATTACATGTTGGAGTCAGTGGAGGACAGAAACAGAGAGACAGAGACCACTGTAGGGGACTGACCTCCAGCAGTTTGAGATTGTCTAGGTCCAGAGAGCTCTCAGAGCCAGCAGCCTCCATCATATTGAGGTTGTGAAGCCCTTGCTTCCCATCTCCTGTTAACACACACACACACACACACACACACACACACACACACACACACACACACACACACACACACACACACACACACACACACACACACACACACACACACACACACACACACACACAGAATTCATAAAACTGTAAAACATGCAGATGCATTTACACAAAACATCAGCTCTGATTAATTTATTATATTAATTGAAATTCTACTAAAAAACATTCAAACGTCCTTGAATAATGAATGTTCTCTGCTCTTCCTCACAGCGTGGCGCCATGGTAACTCACCGTGCATCATGCTATAACCAAAGAAGGCTGCTACAGCAAGCACGGCCAGCACGGAGACTGTTGCCAGGGTGATAATTACTGTCTCTTTGTAGCCCAGTGTGCCAGAGTCTATAAGGGGGACACATCAAAAACAAAAGTACAAATCAGACTGTGACCTTTTTTTATGTGGGAAGAGCAGATGGCTGCAACCATGCACTGGCCTCTGATCGGTGGGGCAGGAAGTCAGAGGATGGCTTTCAACCACAGCTGATATCTAACTTAATAGGTACACCTGTACAATCTGATGCAACCCAATACAATGGGTCTGCAATACCTTGTCTATAATTATAATATTCACATGGACAGTGTTTGTCTACGCTAATGCTTTAATGCTTTTGAAGAGAGACACTTGGAATAAAAGGTAGATAACAAGATAAACTAAAAACTATACATTAATAGGATTTCATCTGGAATTCAGCAGCACATTATGTTTATATCACATGCTTTATCTTTTATTGCACTATAGCTTGGGCAACCTACAGATCCAATTCTTTCCAAATCAGCAAACAGTACATTATTTAGTTTATATACATCGTTACATCAAACACACCATTACTTCAGCATATTTAGCACCGTACACAACAACCAAAGTAGAAGCAGTCATCAGCTTTAGTCTGCATTTTCCTGCCACCATGAAAGTGAGGTGGCCGCCAGTGATTAAATATGGATGTAAACAATGTAGGATTTAAATATTTTAAAAAATAAATCAGCTTTGCAAATGTATAATCAGTAAGGAAATGGAATCAACACACTTGCTAGACCTCAGGGATGCAGTTTTTTTTTTTTTGGGGAGCAACACTGGATGCAAACGTAACTCCACAGAACACCTTTAATTCCTCTTTAAGCCTCTTGGCTTTTTGGCTCTGTCTGCTCATATGTTGTTGTGTTTTTTAATCTGTTCGAATTTTGCTCTGACTTTAGATTTTATTCATTTATTCTGTATTGTGCAAATAAACTATTTTTGAGGCCAGAGTCAGTGTTGAATAATTCTTAAAGGTGGTTCCAACAACAAAATGATTGCTGCTGTTGGATAAAAACTCTACTGGAATGAAAACAGGCCTACGAAACATTTTTCCTGTGACTGAAATATATCTAATAGACTGGCAAGTGGGCATATAGTATGTTGTATTTGGGTTTTCCTTCCCAAATAGCAGGTCAATAACAAACAACAAAAACAATTAAATGTCTTGGGTATACAAGTATCTGTGTTTTCGGACGATCAGGCATGCCGTGAAGCGCACGAAGTTAAAGAAAATACATCAATAAAGTCAACAACCATGAAGAATGGTAAACAGACTGGAAAGCAGAAACAGAGGACGCGTGGGAAGTGAATGGAGAGAGCGAGAAAAAGATGTAAAAACGGAGCGAACACTCGAGAGCTGGTCAGATAGCTGAGGTGGCTGCAGTTTTAGCCGTCAGGTATTTATGATTAATGAAACTTCACCCGCTACTGTGCTACTCTGGAGACAAACATACACACCTTACATATACCAACACTTTACACACAGCCTTTACTCTGCAGAAATAATATTAAAAAAGTCCACAGCAGCTGCCCGGATACACACAGAAACACGCTCCCCTGCGTCCGTTACATCAGTCAACTCACTGGTGCTGCCGAGAGACACCAGCTTTATCAATAATTGATGGCTTTGAGAGCCAGAGGGCAGCTTTGACTGACATGCTAACATGAGCATGCATGCACACATGCTCTGGCACACACAAACACATGGGGGTTAACACGGCGCCCCTCAAATGCCAAGGTCAGTGAGTTCATCATAAACAAGAGGGTAGCACAGGAAGCCATCTGACAAACACAGGCACGCACACGCACACGCGCACACACACACACACACACACACACACACACACACACACACACACACACACAATGATCAATAATGTTGCCTAGTTTTATATCTAATATTAAATAAATTTACTTAAGTTCTGTATTAAGTACAATTGAGGAATTTGTACATGTTTTCCTCTTTCTTTTAATACTTTAGTACTTATAACTCCTCTACATTTATTTGACGGCTTTAGTTAATTTGCAGATTCTGATATAATCACTAATATAAAGTATAATCAACAAACATATTATGTTAAAGATGACGTTACTCAGCATTATGTAGAGTAGTTCAAATGTACTTTCACTAGCTGCCATATATAAATGCTGCTTACACATTAAAGACATTGATGATTATAATCCCATTATATAATATATAATTCTGCATAATGAGTACTTTTACTTTTGATATTGTAAGTATATTTTCATGTGAATACTTCTATACTTTAACTATAGTATGTTAGTAACTAGTAAAAGTCCTGCATTCAAAACACCTCACCAAACTGCAGTAAACTATATATACTGAGTTTCCCTGTGGTATTACTACTTTTACTTAAGTAAAAAATCTGAGTATTTCTTCCACCACCTAGCCCTAAATGTCATCATGCAAGGCTCCTGGCTTTGAGTCACTCAGACAGCCAATTGACTGAAACCATTTCCTACTTCTCATAACACCGCATAAATCTGCCCAGACATGTCGGGAATGAATCTAGCAATAAAAACAGAAAACAGGATTTTAACTTAGAATACAACCCAAACTTAAACTTCACTGATTAATCAAACATCCTTCTAACATCAAATGGTTATTTTCCCCCCAAACTTTCTCCAGTCTTTGTCTCGTCATCTGTCTACTCTTTGGAACAGTCACCGGCACGCCCGCAGACAGACAGATACAGCAGACGCCTTGTAATCCGTGGAATGCAGAGAGACGACATGGAGAGTGTGTGTTTGTGTTTATGTGTGGGCAGGAGAGATGATGAGCAACCGCCGCCATCCCCCCCCCCCGCCCTCCTCCTCCTCCTCGTTCTACCACACACATTGCTTTCATTCACAGCTAAACCTTAAGAGGAAGGAACAATTAACAGACATCTGTTTGCTTTGTTTGACACCTCACTAAGAACACAATGGACGAGCATCGATACAAACAGAATTCTGTAACAACCACTTTTATGGCCCTTTAGTGCATATAATCTATATAACACAGTGAGACGCTGCAAAGCCTATCTGATCGCAAACCAACTTATCGCTGCAATTCAGTTGTCAAGGTTCATAAAGGATTGGAATCAGAAACCTCAGTTCTAAGCCGTGTGGCTGAATGATGCAGCAGAGGAAGAGGAGGAGGAGGAGGAGGAGGAGGAGGAGAGAGAAAGTAGTTACAAGTAGGTAGGTGTAGGTACAAAAGCTCTGATGATATCTAACATCCTTTCATTCTTTACTGTTAATAGCTTTGTGTTTCAGAACTGTGTGGGCTCGCATTTGATTTCTCCCATTCTTTTCTTCCGTTAGTCATGTTTATTTCATTCATTGCCCTCGCCTAACGCACCCAATTGTGTGATGATTGATGATGAGATGATTGTGACCGCAGAAGAGTACGATTCTCTCTGGTACAAGAAATTGCTCCATAAAAGCTTAAGATGTAACCTTGGGAGGCAGCAAATCACAAGAGCGGCCATCGTGCCAGGTTCCAAGCTACTTATTAATGACATTATATGGTTCATTGATCTGATTGGTTGGAAGTTCGCCTGTGACAGACAGCGATCGACAGATGGTTCATCAAATCTCCTGCTAAATATTTTTTTAAAGTGCCTGCCCTTTTTCTAAACAGTTTCTTACAACGACTTCCCACATGGTTCTGTGTAATAAAGCATCTGGCCCAGTCAGGTTACTAAAAAGTGTCTCCTGAGTCAACTTATCTGTGTGAAAAACACCATCTAAGGAATGTATTCAGGTAATAGTCAATGACAGAGCAGCTATCTTCAGCTATCTCCTCAATACAAGACAATTTCCCTCATAGTTTAAACTTGCATTTGAACTGACCCGATGTCACAGGTGATCAATAGCAAAGTGATTTCCCTCACTGCCTGTACTTTCAAAAAATGGTCAGCACAAAATTCAATACTAAAGCCATAATAGCGTAGGCTGAGATCTGGCTTTAAATCTATCTGGCTGATCACCAGTCATATAAAAGAAAGATGCATCATGACTAGAAAGGAATCCTTTGGCAAGGAAACTCACTACAAAACAAGCATGTTTAGGATCTATTGTATGACTACATGTACAGAGCGCAGCAGTGATTGGTACTGTGGTTCGACTTTGTGCAAGCACGTGTCCTTACAGATGGGTTGCGCAGTGGTGGGGCTGGGCGGTGGGAAGTCCTCTGTGAAGTTGACATTGCACATGTCGCTGCCGCAGCAGCAGAAGTGGTACGTCCCATTCTGCATCTGTGGAGGGAGGTTGGTCACGACACAGCGGTCGTCACGGCAAGCCTGGTGGTCGCCCAGATGTGTCCAGCAACCTGACGGAGAGCGACAGAAGAGGATGGGGGCGGTGAGGGTCCAATCACTACAAGTGATTGTTGTCTGGTATGACAGTCTTATGGAGGCTAAATGTTAGACAATGTTTAAGTATATATTGCTCTACATGGATATTACTAATCCAGTTTGCCAACTTTATGACACTGTCCACTTTTGCGACTCTTACACTTTGTCCCAGCACCATTATCCCTTAACTGTCACTTGTGGCAACAATAAATACTCTTCAAAAATGTCACACAGTCTCACTTTAAAGTTGGTAGTTGTACAAGTAAACCTCGAGACAGTGTCTGAAGTTTTACCTTGTTTGACAAGTCGCACTTCGCCTGGAGGACTTTTCTCCCACAGTCCAAAACAGTGGCTGCCCTTGGCACATCGGATGGTGGTGTTCTCTGGGGAGACCCGGCCTTCGCCCCCCGCCACTCGATCCACCTCCCACTGCTGGTGCTGGTCTGTGAAGGCACACTCCCTCTCCTCACCCTGCGCCGCTGTGAAGAGACAGAGGAGTTGAGTCAAATCAAATTTCTAGAAAAACAGAGCCGTGCTCTGCAGTAGCAACAGAGTGAATGAAATAGTTGGGTGACGAGAGGCAAGCAGATAAAAAAATCTAAGATGGAGGCAGTTTGTGTGTCTTGATGAGCATGTGTGGTAAGGAGAAAGGATTAGACCACTCAACAGCTTCATTAATTTATGCCAGTTCATCGCCTCTCTTTATCGATTATTGTCTAAGTCCACCGACACATTTTTCTATGCACATCTCAGATGGAAATCACATCAACCCTTTCCTAATAAAACAAAAGTACAAACTATACATAAATATATATACATACACATACATACATAGACATACAGACACTTCTTGTCTGCTAAACCAGTTACAGAGACAGATTGATACTGTTACTGCGACTGTCTACGCAGGAAAAATACACAGCTGAAAAATAACTGTCTGCCTGCAAAGACTGCTGCCTCTCGCAAAGATCAATAGAAATACCAATTTAAACTCTAGCCTGAAGGACATAACAAACACATGCAGAGGCGAAAGAGACATTAAGGTTTGAAAGAACCATCATTAAAAACAAACAAAAACTGCAAGATGACCATGAAAATGAAATGTCACAAAATGAGAGATTGATGTTGAACTTGCATGCCAAGACTCCCACCTTCGACTGAACAATGTGTGAAAAATGTGTTTTGAACGGAAAAAGAAGCCAAAATGTGTCCAGTTGTGAAATAGACAGTTTGCCTGTTGATTTCCAGTTAACGTCTGGGAGAAATAGTTTGAGCCAATGTCAGAGTGTGTGTTTGTGTACATAGCCTGCGTTGTGGGTAATTTCAGATAAGGGAAACATGATGTGCCAGTTTGTTTCCCTTACTCCCAGCTCCTCCCTTTCCTCCAGCCGGGAAGAGAGGGTGGGGGGTCTGTTATGAAGCGGTGGAGGGAGGAGGGTGACTGTGCCCTGCCCAAGGTCAAGCCAGCCTGTGTGGGCAGAGGGTGACGCGATGGAGCGGTAGCTCTGCTGGGCACGGCGCCAACTTTTCTCCTCTGCTCCCATCCGCAGATAAAGCTATCAACCCTGGCCTACTGTGGGCCTCGGCTGCTCTGAACCTGCAGGCCTTAACTGCCTACTGTTCTGTAGGACTGACTTTGCCTACAGGGGGAAGTGCGCTGTGTGTATGCAGAGTGGGAAAGGAGTTCAAACTAAGGGTTAAGTATGTGGAGGAATTTTAGTCCGATGAGGAAACTGAATTTCAATAAGCTGACGATGGCACTGCTAGGGTTAGTGGTTAGATTCCCGACGGGGCAGACGATTCTCCACTTGCATGTATTTCCAGCACATAAACATGCTCTGGGTTAAAGTGACCACCAAAAAGGTACAAGTGCTGCATAATTATCATAAATATTACATCATACTGTACATGTTCTCACTGGATCAAACTAAAAGCTATAAAAAAAAAAAAAACAAGACTAACCCGACACCACAGCATGAAATATACCAAATAAATACTGAGCAGAGAGGAAAACCAGAAACATTACAGGAGAGACATAATGGGCATACATTCATATCCTACCACTTTTCTATTGCTGTGGAGGGATAATCAGCTCTGATTTACTGAAACCTTTTAACAGGGAAAACATACCCACAACACTCCTGGTATTTAGTTTAGAAAAACAAAATTTCCACAAACTTTCAAGCTGTATTTTTCTCTTATCTAATCATTTCAAGAGGATGGCGGCAGATCTTTCATGTGTTCTTTTTATTTCTGCCTCCATTTTGTATTACTGAAAACACAAGTGCTTCAAGCTGTCCTCGCCACTGGAGGACACGTCAACAGACAGGTGCAGACAAGAAATGGTGCACAAATGTTTGCTATGTACAACTAACTTTCTTCCTACAGTACTTACACTGCGTTACTTCCAAGGCCAGAGCAAAATTATATCCATACTACATTATTTCATCATCAGCTGGTGAGGAATGTTGCCTGGGACCTATTAGCATGATATCATGTCCGCGGACATCAAGTGCATATTTAAGACCTCTCACACAAGGCTCTCGATTTAAAACAGCTGGAAACATTAAAATATCGGCAATTCACGAAGCCACTGTCAGCTTAAATTGCACGCTATCTGCAATTGGGTCTGAAATCAGGGAGCCATTTTTTTTTTTCAAACTAAATCACCAAGAAATCTGGCCCAGTAATCATTATTAACTCTATATGTACCTGTTTGATACGAGATAACACGGGAAGATGGTTGACCACAAGTAAAAGGCTTTAAACTATGAATTAGGTGATTTTCAATGTAACTACTGCAGTGAGGTTAAAAGGCACTACGTACTTTCCTTGACTGTGAAAACTCAAACACTTGTGCTTGATAACAGCCACGACTAAAAAGATACAAGGTTAAACATAATAATCACAGCCTCATCAGTGGCCTGTCTTCGTGTACGCTTCCTTTCTTATAATCCAGAAATCCAAGTGAGTGGGCGGTGGAGGTGAGGACGTGAGCTGTAGAGAAGGAACTCGTAAAGAAAGGAGAAACATAAAGGAACAATAGCAGGAAGTGCTTAGCTGGTGACAACACCCATAGACAGTCAGACAAACAGACTGGCTCTATGGATTTCTGTTCTCCTAATCCTGCCGTTCAAGGCCAGAGTATCTTCTGTACTTCTCCCAAAGCTGTGTAGATACTGTATTCTGACATTAATTATTAATATTCTTACTACAATTCAAGGCCGTGAAATCAAAAACCCCATAATGATGCTCGGTCTATGAGAGCTCTTGGGCATGAAAAAACTGAAAAGGGGAGATAAAAGGCTTATGTAGCAAGTTCAATCTAGAAATTGATTTTGGGGTTTCATTCACAAGTATGATAGATTTTTTTCCACTTTATTGTCGTGAAGGAAAAAGATTATTTAAGTACATTTTAGTAGCACTAATACAAAGCCAAACAGCAATGCCTCTGTATTCTGTATAAGCACTACTAAGTATGTATCACGTACCCTTGATGATAATGTATGACGATAATTGATAACAGGGCTGCACACGCTAAACGGAGAGCATGGGCTGATCACACAACAGCTTCTTTAATTCCCACTTCCTCCTGATTGTTAACACAAAGGCTGCTGGGGCAAGTCACCCTCTGAAATATATTAGATTTACAGATTTTGCCGCTTAATATGCAAAAAAAAGTGAACGGTGAAGCAGAACAGTGTTGCATGGATGGAGCTCAAACCCAAGCAGTCACAACCAGGCTTTGCTCATTTGCAGTCTGAGCCATGGGAGCTCTCCTGTGGGTCAGATTTCATTGGTTTGTCTGCCGCTTTGCTTGGCTGTGGTTGGTTCTTTGACTGAATTCTGTCTTAGGAGTGTTTCTGGTTGGGTGCCAATCTCTGTGTTTATCTGTGATTGGCCGAGGCAGGCTCTGTCCCTGAATCTGCTCTGTGGAGCTTGCTGTGTGATCTTGGCTTCCACTGCAGTATTGGATTGTGGGTCAGAGTATGCAGGCAAGGCCAGTGGAGCGAGGCAGATAGAGAGAGAGAGAGAGAGAAAGAGAAAGAGAGGGAGAGAGAGAGAGAGAGGGTAGTCATATCAAAAGGCTTCAGAGTAGTTTTCTGCTCCAAGCCTGTTCATTGGATGATGGCGGGCACTGCTGAGTGTTTACCCATGGCCCAGTTATTTGCTAATCTCTCTTCCCTCTTCTAACCCCCCCCAATTGGCCTTCGTGCACCCTCCCCGGACTACCCCCATCCCCTCAGCCTCGCTACTAAAAAACAACAGCGATCTAATCTGGCTCTCTCCTTCCTACTGCCAAGGCCCATCGGAGCGATGTAAGACACGGCAGTCTGAAACTTGATTAAAAGTCACCGGGTGCACTGATGTGTTGGCTGTTTTCTCTCCACAACTAGTTCCGAGTTCACGTCCAAGATTCGAGGCAGAAACAGAGGGAGGGAGGGGCGGAGGGAGGGAAAAAAAAAAAAGCAGAGGAGGCTCTCTTGACTAAAGGCTGAAACGTGCTTGATGCACCCGTGCACGCACCATCTCCTCTGCAGGCATGCGTGCACAGTCCGCAGTCACTGAAGTACACAAGTTGTGCTCTCTCGCTCGGGTTTTCACGAGCAGGGCATAAAGCTGCCACGCAGAGTCCTTTGTACAGCGCCGACTCTGTGTCGGTATCAAAATAATGACTGCGTTTAAACACAGTCCCTCTCTCTCCGCTGTCTAAATCTGCCACTGTGTGAAGCAGACGAGCACACCCTGAGAGCCGATAATGTGCCATCATGCGTGGCCGGTGCATCCACAGACAAAAATTTTCAAATTGCAAAAGAGGCACTATGCATGCCCACGGTGTTTTCATTATCGGAGAGGCTCGAGAGGCTACACCCCGACAGCCATCAGAAGAGTTTACCCACCCTAATCGTACCTGCTGCTGCTGTTTGGGTGCATGCTTGTTGCTGAGGTAGGATGGATGGGTTTCAGGGGCATTTGCTGACACCCCCAATTTTCCAAGTCCCCTGGTTGAGTTTAAAGATGTGATTTGGGGGGGGGGTCTGACTGGGCTTTAATCTGTCCCATCTGTTGCCTCGGGACTGCCCACCCCCCCTCAAAAACACCACCACTCAGTCTGTGTCTGTCTGGGTCTGGTACAGTTATGCTAATCCCGGGGCTTACTACCCTCAAAGCTTAGAGGCCTCCATTATTGACCACTATGCATTTATACCAAAATTCGGCCCCCTCCCTCCTTCCCTGTATACCTCAACTTTCCCAAATACGTGACACACAGATGACAGAGTGACCGAAGCGGTGTTTACCATCACACCGCGGGGGGGTATATAATCTCAGATTATTTATGAACAAGCAAAAGTTTAAATTCAGACACAGCCTGAAAGCAGTCTTTGTTTATGACAACATCCTTCCCTCGTAACGAACAGCCATCGCATGCTTGACGGGCTACATACTAGCTTGACAGGATGATTTTCCACTACACATG